TGGCCATGCTGGATGCAAGGCAGACTACACCGGTCCTCACTCAGCGCTCCATCTTCTCCGACTCCGTCTCTGACACGCCTAACACACGTCTCTGGTAAACAGTGCACGACTGCGTCTTGTCCGGTCCCCAGTCTGGGCCCGAGCTGTTCTCGGGGACTGCGCACTCACGTGGAACAGCTGCCTGCAGCGCTGGGGCCGTGTCTTGGTTTGTCTGCCCGCCCCCTCCCTCCTCGCCTCTGCCTGGGGAAGTGGGCCCCGTTGGTTACACAGCTGCCTGTGTGCTGGTGGTTCGCCTGGGGTTGCAGCTTGTCCCCCAGGAGTTAGAGGCCCTGTAGGCAGAACTCGGACGCCTCCCCACGCCGTCCGCACCCGTGCCTCCTGCTGTTTTGACAGCTGTAACCTGGCCTGCTGTCCACAGGCCCCTGCCGCGTTCTCGCCTCAGTGCTGAGGGAGGGCATTCCGACAGCCTGCAGGGCCACCCAGCTCCAGGGAAGGGGGCAGCCCAGGCTGCACCCGGCTCCTTTCTGCTGCCCTCCAGGCACTGCAGGCAGCTGCGGAGAGCCCACGAGGCGTGGAAGGAAATGCCTGCGTCTCCACTGTGTGGTGGACGGGTTTGGCCCGCGTGTGCATCCCTGTGACCTGGTCATCTTAGCGACAGGGCAGCACTGTGCCCACAGGCTGAGGAGGGTGTGGGCCTGGGTCCTGTCTTGCCTGGGCCTCCAGGCCTCTCCCCAGAGCAGCTGTCACGTGAGCTGTCCTGCTCCCGGGGCTGTCGGGCTGTCACCGGCCCTGCTGAGGTCGCTGAGCGGGGCTCTGGTCATGGGCTTAGTGGCTTTTTGCTTCTCTTTGTGAAGCATCTGGTCAAAATTTTGTCACCTTTTAATCTTTATTTTATAGTTTTTAAAATGGGCTTGTTCTCTGGAGCAGTTCAGGTCTGAGGAAGGGCTGCCCCTCCGACCCTCGTGCAGCTTCCCCCAGCACCCGGCCTGAGTGCACTCGGAGTCGCCACACCTGTGTCCGTCCATCCGTGGTGGGAGCACATGGGACAGTTTCATAGCCCTACAAACCACCAGTGCTGCGCCCCTCCCCCGGCCCCTGGGACCGCCGTCTGGCTGGGACCACCATGCGCAGCTCTGGCTTTGTTTCTTTGTTTCCTTCCTCCTGTGTCACGAATTTCTGTGTGTCAGTTCGATGCGACCTTTTCTGCACTCCCTTCGTCCCATCCTCACAGTCGTCGCAGCTTGTGGGTCTGTGTGTGGCACTCTGTCATGCAGCTGCTCCCTCGAGTGCGCTCCCTCGTGGGGGCTACAGCGCCTAACGCCTCGTTCGGGCTCTGGTCCAGCCCTGGGGGGTTTCTTTCATAGTTCCTTCTTAAAGCCACTGCAGACGCAGGGTGACACCTCCGCTCTGTTCAACAAGCTGTGTTTGGGTTTGCGCGTGTCCGGCTGTGGTTCACTGAAGGCCTGTGCTGCTTGCAGCTGGATCACGTGGCAAGAGCAGGGACAGGGCACACACTTGCATCTCCACAACCGTCCCCTAAAGCACCAGCATGGTGGTGGTGCCTGCATCTGTCCCTGGGCACTGGGGGGCCTGGCTCAGGTGACACCCCAGCCCCCTCAGGCACTGAGTGAATTGTCGCTGCGAACTTGAGGCAGGCCACGCCTCTCCGTGAGGGGGCACCTGTGTGGGTGGGGCCCACCCCCTGCCCTGTCCTGCCCTGCCCTGCCCTGGCTCGCAGGAGTCTTTGGAGGGTCCTGTAACCCTGCTGCCACCTCACTCTTCCCTCACGATTGGTGCTGAGCTGAGGTTTCCACGGGCCTTGGGTGAGAGACGTGCTCCTTGACCCCCCTGCAGACATGCTCCTCGACCTCAGCGACCTGCTCCAGGTACAGTGCCCTCTGGGTCCCTGCCCCTCGGGTCTGTGCCGAGGCATGCGCCACCGCCCTGCCTGGTTAGGAGGGTCCCTGGGCGAGGGACACACAACTGTGGTCTCTTGTGGGGGCTCTGGACACAGTCCCCATGTTGTCCCTGCCGTTGGTGGGGCCCAGGTGGACTCAGCCTTAAGGAAGGGCAGCTGTTTAGAAGGGAAGGACCAGATGCACACATTTAAACAATGCCCAGGCATCGCCCTGCTTTCACAGTGTGTGGAAAGAAATTTGCCTTCTGAGGACCAGGAAAGCGTTTTCCTGTGGAGTCTCCCATCTCCAGAGGGAGACCTGATGGGGTCTCCTGAACCTGATGGAGAGACCCCCATACGGGCCACACATGTGCATGGGGTGCACTCCAGGGCAGGGCGGTGCCTGGTCGGGGCCATTGAGGCTTTGCATGTGCCCCATGCCCTGGGCCTCGGCCCAGGGGCCCTCTCCACTGAGGATTCAGAAAGTGAAGTTGTGACATTGAAAACAGACATGACCACAGTGTGAGGATTCGTGCAGAGCCACACAAGTCCCATCCCCACGGGGGAAGTTCGTCCCGGCCCAGGAGTCACATGGGACACCGGGCTGACTAGCACTGGGTACTGCCTGTGTTTGCCCTCCCAGCTTCCTTACACGTGGTGTATCTCAGGGGTCCTGCTCAGAACACCTCCCCGGGGCCGTGAGGCCCAAGCACTTCCCACGCTGTGCAAGGCTGACTGCCCGGGAAGGACGTGAGAGGCCAGGCAGAACCACTGTCCAGCAAGGGCTTGGGCCCTGCCTACAGGGCGGGGGTGTTCTGGCAGTTTCTCACTTCACAGCCTTGGAAACAGGAAACCAGTCAGGGAAGAGGGCAGCTGGAATGGATGTTTCCATCCACCTGGAGCCAAACCAGGCCCAGGGAGGGTCACTGTGCTGACCCGCAAGTTCAGGCTGGACGTACACAGACAGTTGGCTTCCCCTGGGGCTTCCCCGGGGCTGACGCTGCCGGGGGCTCAAGTAGAGAGGAAATGAGTAGAAGACTCAAAATCGGAAGAGAAGACCCAGGTTTAGGGTTTCATTTTGTTCTTATCCACATACCCCAAGGTCTGGCACTCCCTGGTTGAGTGAACAGTGAACACCCTCCAGCAGGAGCCATGAGAGCACCCAGGGGTGCTGGCAGGAAGCTCCTTCGTCCCACTATGTTGTAGCTGACAGGGGTGCTCACTCACCTGGGCCTGGCCCTCAGAGGCAGAGCTGGGATGCTTGTACGTGCAGAGCCTACCTGTCCTTGGGTGTAGTGGGGAGGACTGGTTGGCCACCCCCTTAGTGACTAACCACCGTCAGAGACGAGCTGCGAACGGTGAACCTTAGCTGGAGTGTCTGTCACGCCAGCCTGTGATGGATGAGGAGGGGGACGGCGTCTCTGGCGGTGAAGGCCTGTGTTTCAGCACTTCCCCTTTTAACATTCGATTGCTGCTGGAAGTCTGTTCAGGGAGCCCTTCCCTGGACACTCGCATCTTCCCCACCTGGGACAAGGGACAGGGTGGCAGGAGGTGGTGTGGAAGGCAGACCTGCACAGAGGCAGAGGGCCAGGAGACCTGGAAACCTAGTGGGAGCCTGGCCGAGGTGCACACACATCATACATGTATATGCACAAACATGCACACTAACACATGTACACACTAACACTGTGTGTGTGCATGGGTCGGAGTGCAGGCCATGGGCTGTAAGCTGCTGGCCCCAGGGATGGCTTCCCTCAGAGCCTTCAGGGCACCTGTGAGCAGCAGGTACGGTGACTGTGCCTGGCCGGGGTGGAGGGTGCTCCCCAGGACCTCTAGCTTCCCCTTCACTCCTCGGCATCTGGGTGGGCACAGCACACACCACAGTTTTGTTTTTCTTGGTGGCCTCTTAGGCCCTGAGCCAGGGGCCCAAAGGCCAGGCTGGACCAGGCAGGAAGCTAGGCCCGCGTCTCAGGGTTGGGCCAGCCCATGGGGGTTGGGGAGCTGATGGGTTCTTTAAAAGACCAAAATGAAACATGCAATTTGAGAGAAAAAAGCAGACATTTCCTGGATACAAACGCCGCCCCTCGGTGTTTTTTTCTGGCAGGTGAACGTGTACGTGCTGGGCAAGACATTCCTCCTCTTGGCAAGAGAGCTGTGCATCAACGCACCAGCGATAGGTACGGCGGGGCTGGTGCCAAGTGGGGGGTCCCGTGCCAGTGCAAGGACACGGTGAGGTGAGAGACGTGCCCAGGCTCACAGCAGGGCAGCAGTTATTTCTGAATCAAGCCAGAGTGCTGGTGTCCCTCCTCAGCAGCCGAGGACAAGGGTGTGGACAGAGGGAAGCAGGGACACTGCTTTGGGTAGGGGCCCATGTCCGTCTTTCAAGGCACACTGGCAGCCGGGTGTCTCGGGGAAGGCAGGGCCCAGGCATATCGGGCAGCCTGGCTCGAGTGCTGGAGTGTTGCCAGGCGGCCAGTTCTCAGTCGGCCTGGGCAGGTTGTTCCTTCCTGTGCCCGTCAGCGTCTAGTGCGTCTCCTGGAACTAAGGGAAGGCAGTCCTGGAGTACCCACAGGATGGCCCCTGGGGCGAACGCTCCCCTGGGGTTGGTGGGGCTGCAGGGCAGGGAGGGCCCTCTCCTCCCAAGAGGCCACATCACTACTGAGTGATGCAGTTCCACCCCTTCCCTGTGGGTCCTGCCAAGGTTTTCCAGAAACGGCCACGGCCCAGGGAGGACGGAGCCTGCTTCACTGCAGTGCACCAGTACAGGGGGGTCCTGGGCCTGCCAGGGGCATTCCCAAGGGCTAGAGCCCTGGGCCCAAGTGCCCCCACCCCACCCCCTTGAATCTGAATTTGTCAAGTAGAAAGGTTTTGTCTGAGCAGCTAGTGATGCTTAAGGAAGTACATGACTCCTAGCCTTTTTCCAGGGCTTTCTGGCTACAGTCTTAGGAGGCAGGCCTGCCCAGATGGGGGAGGCCTAGCCTTCGGAGAGGGCAGACCTGGAGCAGGCCAGGCTTCCCTGGGCTGCAGTTTGCTTCTCACCTATGTTGTTCAGTACTGCAGGTGTTCCCTGCTGCTGGGCTGGTGAGAACTCAAGCACCATGTATCTATGTGTGGCTCTCACTTTATTAAAACTCAAGGTAAGCTATTTGAAGTGACTGTTCCCAGGTTTCAGACTTGAAGGGAAAATCTGACACTTAGAACCACTTAGAATAAAATTCAAGAGCGTGGGAGAGACAGCCAATCCCACCTAGCAGTCGGCGTGGGTGGCACCGGTGGAGTTGGAGCTGCCGTCTGCCCCCAGCCTGCCCTCCACCTGCCATAGGCACCCCAGCGCACTGCGTTGGAGACATCACGAGGCCCAGTCGCTAGCATTCGGAAACCAATGCTCTGGCTGTGTAGAAAATGTCTATTTCATACATTCGGCGACAGCCGACCACGTACAAAAGATTCACAAAGTGCATGATGCCCACCAGCTGCTGCAGAGAGTGAGTGCCACCTTCCCTGCGTCCCCCACAGTGTGTCCCAACCAGCTATGGCCGGCGCCTCAGGCGTAGAAGATGAGCTCGGGGATCTGCCCACCCTGCACCCCGGTGCCATTGGTGCTGTCTGAGGAGCACTGGAACTGGAAGGTCACCTTCCCGCACTGCACCTCCGTCATGCCCTCCTGCCCGAAGTAGCTGAGCTCGCTGCCGTCCAGGACAGCGCTGGCTGTGTAGAAGGTGTCCTGCTCCACCTGCACAGGGTGCTCGAACCAGACCGAGAAGGTGCTGCTGGAGCCGTCAGAGATGAACCTGGTCAGGTTCTGGGCAAGGACCACCCCTAGCCTCTTGAGCTCGATCTTCACGCTGTACTCGGCTTTTCCGGAGCTAGACCCATACAAGCCCAGCCCCGCAACAAACACCCTCCTGTCCGCGGCAAACTGGATGCTGTCGCAGCGTCCGCGGTAGCGCCACTGGTTGCTGCGGTAGGCGGAAGACTGGAAGCGGTGGCACCTCTGTGGGGCCAGACCCTTCCTCTTGGTTAGTGGGAAGTCCAGTGGGGGCTTGTTGGCCGCCGTGTACCACAGGAAGATGTTGTGCGTCTCCTCCAGGGTCAGGATGTCCGACTGGGCAGCGCCATTCGCAAACTCCTCCAGGGTCATAGTTGGAATTCGGACCAGGTAGAGGACTGGCCCCAAAACATGCCTCTTGTTGCGTGGGGTGACCGGCAGGCCCTGCCTCTTGCACTCCGCCTCAGCCCAGCTCAGCACAGCCTCAAAGACCACCGCCTCCTTGGTGTTGAGGGCCTCCCGGGCAACGATGATCTCCAGGGTCTGCCAGTCAACCTCACAGAAGCCCTCGGACCTCAGGGCCATCTCCGCCTGCGCGTCGATGACCTCCCAGCAGCGCTGGGTCAGCTCGGGCTCCTCAAACAGTCGGCTCTGAGACAGCAGGACACAGGCGTTTTTGGCTTCCAGACTTGTCTCCAGAAAGTGGACACATGCTTTTGCTAATGCAGGGACGATGTACTTCTTGGCAGCGTAGAGAGTGGCCAGCACTGTGTCTGCTTCCAGGTCAATCTCATCACTGTACATGTACCTGGCAGGGTGGGGACTATGTCACCAGCTGTGTGGGGCCCCCCAGAGCACCCAGCGCCTGGGAGACAAGCCCAGGAGTCCTTGTGGACCTTCCCTCCAGGGCAGCACACAGGGACAAACCACTCATTCTTGCAGCCAGGGGAGCCCACTTACTTCAACATGATCAGGAATGCAGCAGGCTCCACGTCGGGAATGTGGATTTCCGCCTTGACTTCTGCCAGATCCCCATAAAACATGGCATAGAAGACTGAGCTGCCAACGGCCAGGACATACTGCAGAGAGAGAGCGTGCTGTCCTGAGCCCTGGACACCCCCTGCCCCAGCGATGCTACACCCGGGGGAAGAAGACAGTCCGTGCCTAATAAGAAAATGCCTGTCACCTTTGGGAGTTCAAAGGGCCAAGCTTCAACCAACCTTGTGGGCAGGCACTCTCCGGGCCCCGCCCGGGGGGCCCACAATGAAGTGGACGTCGGCCATGAGCTCGTTGTTGAACATCAGCGCGTTCCTGTAAAGGGGAAAGGCACGAGGCGCAGGGCTCGAATGGCGCAGGGCTCCGCCCGCGCTTGGAGGAGGGGGCGCAGAAAGACCAGCTTAAGGCCTCAGGGCCTGGACGGGCGGGGTAGCAGGCTCCAGGCCCGGCGCGGCCCGGACTCACCTCTCGCGCAGGGTCGGGTGGAAGGACTGCCAGTTGGGGCTCTCCAAGTTGTTGTTGTCGGGAGCTGGCGGCGAGGGCTCAGGCGGGGGCGCGGCCGGCGGCGGAGCACTAGGCAGGGCCTTCCTGCCTACGGCAGCGGCGGTGGCGTTGCTGTTGACGATGTCCGTGGCGGTGGCGGCCGTGGCGCCTGCAGGCGCGTACAACTCCGCGGCCATCTTCACAGGCAGGGTGGCCTCCGCGCTCGGGGGCGGTGCACCGTGCGCCCTCCCGCCACGCACGGGCCTCGGGGGCGGCTCCGTGAGCACCAGGAGCGCGGTGAGACACTGTGTCACCCGACCGTGCAGACAGGCCAGGGGCAGCAGCATGGGGCCGCAGCGGGCACTGCTTCCTCGCCCGGCCTCCCGCTGCCCGGCCGCAGGGGGCGCCGTTCACCCCCGCGTCACTTTGCGTCACGGTGCCGGCCCGCCCTGTCGCCCTGCGCAGAGGATGTACTTGTCCGCGCCCCGCCCTGTATGCAAATGAGCACGCCTTCAGCCTGGCTTCTGGAGGGGGCGGCGGGGGCCTGAGAGGCGCTGGGAGTCCGCAGTACTGAGTTTAGCAGGGGTGTTGTGGCCGGAGGCCAGGGTCCGCAGTGGGCCACGCACGGTGTGGTTGAGACGGGCAGTGCGGCTATCCTTATTTCCTTGGTAACCAGTGTGTCCATACCTGGCTGTGGGCCCGTTTGACATCTGGAGTCTTCCTTGGAGAAATGACGCTTCACGCCTTGGGCCTTTTTTTCTTTTTTTTTTTTTTTTTTTAGAGGAAGGAGGGGAGAGAGACTTGGATCGGTTGCCTCCCACCGGTACCCTGAAGGGGCCTGGAACCCGTACCCTGAGTGAACCTGCAACCTTTTGGTGGATGGGCAGACCCTCCAAACAGCGAGCCACCTGTCCAAGGGCCCTTTTGTTTGTTTTTCGATTTTTTGTTTATTGATTTTAGAGAGAGGGGGAAGGAGAGCGAGAGAAACGTTGATTTGTTGTTCCATTTATGTACGCATTTGTTGGTTGATTATTATATGTGCCCTGACTGGGGATCAAACCTGCAGCCAGCGCCTGGGGACTACGCTCCAACCAACTGAGCTGGCCTGCCTGAACTCTGCCCTTTCTTTTTTTTTTTTTTTTTTTTTTTTTTTTTTTTAAGATTTCACTTATTTTTAGAGAGAGGAGAAGGAAGGGAGAAAGAGGGAGAGAAACATCAGTGCGCCTCTCGCTCGCCCTCTACTGGGGACCTGGTCTGCAACCCAGACATGTGCCTCGGCTGACTGGGAATTGAACTGGTGACCTGGATGCTCCTAGGAGGGCACTCGGTCCACTGAGCCACACCAGCCACTGCCGCCCTTTTTTCCTAATCAGGTGTCTGTCGTTCAGGAGTCGCAGGAGTTCTCTGCATATGAGATGGTAGTCCCTTCTCAGACACATGATTTGAAAATACTTTTCTTTCGTTTCTTTGGTGCCTTTTCATGCTGATTGTTTCTTTTGCCGCATAGAAGTTTTTAAGTTGATGTCACATTTGTGTGTTTTTGCTCTGTTCCCTGTCCTTTTGGTGTCAGATCCAAGACATCTTGGCCCACTCTGATGCCCTGAGTTCCCTTTAAGCCTTCTTCTAGTTTGGGGGGTTCCACATCTTACAGTTAGCTCTCTAATCTGCTTTGAATTTTATTTTAGTTTTTGATTTTAGAGAGAGGAAGACAGAAACATCAATTTGTTGTTCTACTTATTGATGCATTTATTGGTTGATCCTCGTATGTGCCCTGACTGGGGATCAAACCTGCAACCTTGGCATCTGAGGATGATGCTCCAGCCAACTGAGCTGCCCAGCCAGGGTCGAGTTGTTTTTCAAATGTGATGTAAAATAAGGGTCCAGATTTCCAGCACTATTTCGAGTTTTTTGTTTGATTGTTTGTTGTTTGTTTTGGGGGGGAGGGAGAAAGCAGGAGAGACACATGAATGTGTGGTTGCCTCTCACAAGCCCCCCACTGGGGACCTGGCCCACAACCCAGGCATGTGCCTTGACTGGGAATCAAACTGGTAACACTTTGGTTCTTAGGCCTGGGCTCAGTCTGCTGAGCCACCAGCCAGGGCTCCAACCCGGTTCCTTGAGGAGACTACCTTTCCTGGCTTTCCGGCCCCTTTAGGGGCTCGCTGAGCATGTGTGGGGCTGTTTCTGGGCCCTTCCTGCCCCAGCTGTGTGTGTCTCAGCACCTGCACCATGGAGCTGTCTGATTTGCTCTTTTTAAACTTTTTTCTGGGTGGTGATGATTTATTATTTTTGCTTATTACTCCATTTGTCTACTTTAAATGCTTTATTTTGTTAACTTTTTCCCTTAACATTTAGTTCATTATTTCTTTCTTAGCAAAGCATTTAAGTCTAAGCTTGCTCTCTAATTTCCTAATACTTTGCTTGGACACGAGGGGACTGTTTTATCTTTTTCTGGCTAATATTCAGTATTCTTTCTTTTTTTAATCCCCACCCAAGGGTCTGCTTGTTGGTTTTTGACAGAGAGAGAAACATTAATCGGTTGCCTGCTCTGTGTGCCCTGACTGGGGGGTTGAACCAGCAGCCTTTTCTGGCGTGCTGGACAGTGCTCTAACCCACCGAGCCCCCGGCAGGTGCACTTAGTGCTCACACTTGAGGTCAAAGGGCGTGTCCTGTGAGAGCTGTGTTCTCCAGCCATGTGGAGGGTTTCTTTGTTCTCCCACACACGGTCCGTTTGAGAACTGCCCCACAGGCTTTGGAGAGGCACGATTGCTGTTTGTAGGGTACTGGATTTGAAATGCATAGATTATATGTGTTTAGAACTGATTTTTGGTGGGCATTGATTCGTTGTGCTACCCGTTGATGCGGTCACCGGTTGGTTCCTGTATCTGCCTCGACGGCGGGTCGAACCTGCAAGCTTGGTGCGTGGTGACCACACTGCAGCTGAGCTGCCCATCGGGGCTGGTTCCTGCACAGAGTGCACCACGCACGCACACTGTGGTGACAGCTCTTCCTAGAGACTCAGTCTTCCCCTGAGTCTGTCCAGCTTGCGGTCTGTGCCAGACCCACGCAGCATCGTGGTCTGAAACTGGTCCCCAGCCCTTGCTGCTGTGCTCGTTCCTGCTGCATTTGCCAGTGTCTGTCTGGCCTCCTGTAAGAGGCTCACTTTCTCTGCACCCGGCAGTGTCCATCCCGCCCCCTTCACTGCTCAAGTGGCCACAGCTGTGTTCACATTGCTGCCGCCCATCATCCTGGTGACCGTGCTTGTGAGGTTGGGCACAGCCTTTGGTGTTTGTGTTTCGGCCTCAATTTTTAGTGCCTGCTGCAGAGCCTGCCCCTGAATTTTGCTTTTCCGTCCAAGTTGAATGGCATCTCACTTGGCCCGTGTGGTCTGTGTTTGTGTTCGCCGCTTTCTCCTTGGCCTGCTCCTTTCCTTCCCAGCAGAACAGTCCCTGTTCCTCCCAGCACCACCCCCTTTCCTAGTGGGTTTGCCTTGAAATTTTTACCAGTATATTTACTTCTTTTTACTTATTTTTTGGGGTCCTCACCCAAGGGCATTTTTTCATTGCTTTTTTAGAAAGAGAGGAAGGTAGAAACATCAGTGCCGGAGAGAAGCCTCAGTTGGTCGCCCCCAAAGGGGCATCGTGTGCGTCCAGACCAGGGATCAGACTTGTGACCCTTTGGTCACAGGACGATGCTCCAGCCAACTAAGCCACACCAACCAAGGCACCAGGATTTTTAAACTTAAGTCCACGTCCCACCCAAACTAGGATGAAGTCCTTTATGTTGCTTTTAAACCTCAGCTTTGATGGTATGTTTTCTAAAAAAAATAGTTAGAAAACTATTTGTGTCATTTATAAAGCATATTTTGATTTTCTCCCAAAAGTTTTTTAGTAACCAAATACCAAAAACAAGAAAACAAACAAACCCCAGACAAAACACCCAGGGTGGACATTGGCTGTAACTTCAAGCTGTCCAGCCATATACCTGAGTCAGCCTCATGGTGGCCACATGGCCACATGGCCTTGGGCACCTCGGGATCTCTGTGCCGTCTGCGCCCCCCACCCCCCAGAAGGGGCTGAGAGGCAGCAGCTGCCTGTGCCTGCTGGACTACACTCTGGTGGTGAGACCACCCAGGTGGTACCCCAATCGGTGTGGGGAGTGCCAGTCGGGCCCCCGGGGCCCTCAGGGACTCATGTTGCTTCAGGGGCTGCACCCATCTCAGTGGCCCCAGAAACTGTCCCTGAGTTTCCTGTGAGCCAAGGCTGACAAGTGCCAGGTGGCAGTGTGTGCAGTGTCATGGGGCCCCCAGGGCTGGAGTTCAGTCTGGGAGGCCCGCGTGGAGGAGGGTGCCCGGTGTCCCGACAGCCAGGGTCTTATCTCACCACTTCCTGCTGCGGTTGGGGGTGTAATGAACTTGCCTACCCCTTCTGTACCTCCCAGGGCCTCCCGGTCTGCCCCCACTCTTTCTTCCGCCCTCTGCCCCAGTGGCCTCTCTCAAGCGAGGCTTTGCTGGACAGTCCTGTCCGAAGGCTGCGGCGTCTCAGTCAACCAAGTCCGTTAAGTGACTTGGCGCTGCTGCCCTAGAGGCTGGCGGCCGCGGAAAGCCTTGTCCCCAGCCTGCGCCTGCCCTGGCGTGTGTCTGTATGTGCATCGGTGTGCCCGGGGCCCTTAGTAATGAGTAGACACTCGGGCGAAGAAATGCAACACACACCTGTAGACAAAGGGGCAGAAGACAGAAGCCGACATTCCACAGGAATGAATGTCAGCCAATAAATATGTTAAAATCAGCTCAACCTCACCCGTCGTCCATGAAGTGCCCAAATGAAGCAGCAGCCGCCCAGCCATGGGAGGGGGCGTGCGGTGAGGGCCCCCACCCGCGGGTCAGGGAGGCTGCATGTCCCCAGGGAGCCTGTGTGGTGGAAGGACTGGTGAGGGTGGCCCTGCCTGGGGTGCTGGGGGTGCAGTGGTATGGCCATCCTGTCCGGACACACACTGAGGCACGTGTCTGCCACAGACCCGTGCCTATACATCCCACGCTTTGCCCACCTGCTGGAGTTTGGCGAGAAGAACCACGAGGTGTCCATGACGGCCCTGAGGCTCCTGCAGAGGATGAAGAGGGACTGGATGCACACGGGCCGGCGCCCGTCGGGCCTCTGCGGGGCAGGTGAGGGGCTTTGGAGTCAAACTGGCCGGGCCCACCGGCCTCCGGGTAGTGGGCGCAGGGCCGTCTCCAGAGCTGCCTCCCAGCCTCCCATGCCCTCAGGGACTTCAACCTGCTCCCAGTTGCCCTCCACTGGCCTGGGGGAGGGGCAGGGCCATCAGACTGAGGGGACTGCCAGGCTCCCTTGTGTGGACCTGGGGCTTAACTGCTGGGCCCTGGCCCTGGGGGCAGCTGTCTGGTGTGTTCTCCAGTGGCAGCCACCTGCAAATGGCATCAGGTCCTTCGGGGCCCTGGACCTGCAGCCCACTCAGGGCCCCTCAGGCTGCCGGGGCCCTTGTGCTTTCCCCTGGCCCTGTGCCCAGTGTCTGCAGGTCTGCTCCCTTCTGGACCCCAAGAGCCGTGTTCTCACGGTCGTCTAACAGCAGGCTACACGCTGCCTGAGGTTCACTTTCCGCCCCAAAGCCTGGTTTCTGAGTTTGCGCCCCATGGTGGTCACTGCACCCAGCACGAGGCTGCTCCCTGTGTCCCTCAGAGCCCTTGGCCTCGTCGTTGGCCAGCGTCTCCTGCACAGGCACCTTGGTTGGCGGGTTCCCTCTGGGGGTGCTCCGTGAAGTTCTCAGGAAACACGCTCTGAATCCTGTGTTGAACCACAGAGGGTGTGACGCAGCGTGTCACACACTTTGTGCATCTCGGCAGTTATGGGCAGAGCCGTGCGTGGGCCTTGGCCCCCTGGCGTTTACCTGGGTTATGTAGCCACCACTTACCAGGCAGCAGACATCCCAAGTGTGGGTCAGCCCTGACGCTGGCTCACAGTGTGTGGCGTGTTCTGTTGCTTACCCCTGTCTTCCTCCCAGCACTTCTGGTGGCAGCCAGGATGCACGACTTCCGAAGAACCATCAAAGAGGTCATCGGTGTGGTCAAAGTGTGCGAGTCCACACTGCGCAAGAGGTGAGTGGCCTCTGCGGGGGGCAGGGCTGTGCTCTCTGCCAGGCTCGGCCAGGCCTGGGGTCCTGAAGGTGGGGCCCTCCACCGTCCTGGCGCCACCCTCTGTCCTGCAGAGGTCTGTCTCGAGGCCAACCCCTTTCTAGCAGGCCTTGTTCTCTCTAAGACAAGTTCAGGTGGATGGTGGTTTGTAGGCTTTGCAGCTCAAAAGAGTCAGGAAATGGGCACAGAGGGCAGATTTGCCTGTGTCCTGCTCGGCATGGCCCGAGTGACGGTCACCTGGAAGCTGGGCTCAAACATGGCCACCACCTCTGTGTGCATGAGTGGCCTAGCGAGGTGCTGCTGTGGGGTGCAGGGGTCTCAGCCGCTGCAGTTGTGTCGCTCTGGGTCCACCTGCTGCCCCCACTCTGCCAGGCCCTCCTCAAGAGGCAGACAGAGCCCTGTGTGTTCGTGTAACTCACGTTCACTTTCTAAACTCTGGTTCAGCATTTTGTTCTTGCATGGACTGGGGGAAGCTGACGGGGTTGAAAACCTGCAGCCGGGCATGTGGCCCCGGGCTGGGTTTCTCTGTCCCAGGGCCTCTCTGACGGCCTGTGGGAGCTGGGAGAGTGCATGGCCTTCTCCTGTCCTGAGTTGGGTTTGAGCTGTTGGCAGGACTGCGGAGGGTTGCGGGCCTGTGCTCCCCAGGAGCAGCCAGGCACTGGGCCAGGAACCCCAGGCCGTCTGGGGCTGTTTGTAAACTGGGTGCTGGTTTGAGTGGCTCTTCAGGGGCGTCAGGTCCCCTTCCTGTCTTTGTTCTAGACTCACAGAATTTGAAGACACGCCCACCAGCCAGCTGACCGTGGACGAGTTCATGAAGATCGACCTGGAGGAAGAGTGTGATCCCCCGTCATACACAGCTGGCCAGCGGAAGCTGCGGATGAAGCAGGTGAGCCCACATGCTTGCCAACTGCCTGGCCTTGCCGTCAGCACTCGAGGCCCTTGTCACATCCTATAGTCTGACACCGCATAACCCATGTGGCAGAGTGGTGGGTCTGCATGCAGACGTCCGTGTGTGGAGTGAGGCGGGCACATGGAGGAGCCAGGGTGGGTGCACGGGGCTTCTTCCCAGACTGTCCCTCTCCCTGTCACAGGGGCAAGAACTGCCTCTCCAGGGCCCAGTCCTTAAGTCAGGGGACCCCGGGCCACTGCTGCCCAAACTTCCTGGCCCCTGAAACTGCTGCTTTTCACCTCTGATCTGCACCTGTGAAGCACAGTTCTGGCAAGGCGAGGCTGGCATCAGGGGCCCCTGTGTCCATGACAGGCCCGCAGGGGCCCCTCCTGTCACTGAGTGCTCTCATCCTCCCCATTTCAGCTCGAGCAGGTGCTGTCGAAGAAGCTGGAGGAAGTCGAAGGTGACCAGCTGGCCCGCCACACAGGTACCGTGGGCTCCTTAGCAAAGAGGTTTTGTGTTCACTTTCTACTCTTAATCTTTCACTTCAGGTGAAATCTCCAGCTACCAGGATGCAATTGAAACTGAACTAGAAAACAGCCGGCCAAAGGCCAAGGGGGCCCTGGCCAGCCTGGCAAAAGACGGTGAGTCCATCCCCACACCCAGCTGCTTGGGCCACCCCTGCCTGCACCCTGTCCACATCCACATGTTCCACTTCACACAGGCCTTTCGTCATCAGGTGGCCCCCCAACCCTGCCCAGGGCAGCTCCCCAGCATCCACACCCACCGGTCTCCTGTCCCGGTGGCCCTGGACTGAAGCTGTCCCCTCGGCTCTTGTTCTTGGACACAGGCCAGCCCTGCCTGCCTCCCAAGGGGCGGAGCTCAGCCCTGGACATGTGGCTGCTGGCCACCCCAAGCCCCTTTCCACAGTTGCCCCTCAAGGTCCATCTCACCCAGTCTTGTCCCACGACGCCCAGGCCCCGGAGCAGGTGCCAGATGACGTTTATCTACTTGGACACTCGGTCTGGGTGGCTGACGCCCCAGGCTCCTCTCCAGGTTCTGGCAGCCACCCTGGTGTGTCTTTTCCGTGATCTTCAGTCATACGTCCTCACTGCCGCCCTACACTCTGCACCCCCTGCCCCGCTGCCCCACAGCCACAGGAGGCCAGTGCTGTCCCCACGGTCCCCAAGTCTGAGCCTGTTCTGTGCTAGGGAGTGCTTTCTCTCCCATCCCTGCAGTGGCTGCTGTCTGTGCCAACACCGCCCCTGTGCACCTTTGTGTACCCGGCCTCAGCACAGACAGTCCCAACTGGCGGCGGCGTGGATTGTGAGTCCTGCCCTGGCTCAGGCACGTCCAGCGTTCGGTGGGAGCCAGGCCGCAACTTGAATGCGGGTTTCTCCTGTGGCCCCATCCCCTGCGCAGTCATGTGGGTCACAGCCCACCTTCCACAGGGCACCGTGTTTTGTGTTTTTGCCCACCCCCCCCATTCATGTCTATGAAATGCCCACCTGTGACTCCTGCTTGTGCTGAGAGGACAGGGCAGTGACTCCCGAGATGGAGCTCAGTGTGACAGCTTGGGTCACAGTCATGCTCTGAGCTCGGCTCAGGTCGGCCACAGCAGCAGGTCTGCAGGGAAGTGTGTGGGGCTCCCTCTACTTAGGGTGTTTTTGACTGGACGGTGCTTGACTGTGACGCAGCCCCCACCCTGACTTGAGGTCCCCGTGAGAGGCGGGGGTCTTCTCTGATGCTCCCACTGCTCCGCTCAATGGGTGGGCCCCCGACCCTTGCTCCACTGTGTCCACCGTCAGCCCCAGCACCAGGCAGAATCAAGTGGGGGCAGCAAGCACATCACAGCTTCCCTGCAGGGCCTATATGCCGCCAGGACCACGGTGCAGGGCTCTAGGCCAAGATGCCAGGTTCTCCTGTGAAGGGCACGCGCACCCTTGTGCCCACGCAGGGTGTGCGCAGGTGGGATGCGTCCTGGGTCGGGGGTGCATCCCACCTCAGTGTGGGTCTGCGCACTCTCACACGCTGTACTGTCTGTCCGGCCAGCTGCTCTTCCCACACAGGATTGAACCGAGTTGTGTCTGAGGATGCTTTTCATTTTATTAGTGACTTTTCCTGCTTATTTTTCCTGATGTTACATAGTTTAGTTTCAGGGCTTTTTCTTGGTAGGTCATCGAGTTCCTGTGTCTGCAGCTTCGCACAGGTTTGTTGCTGCTGCTACTTTGCCTTTATGCACCTGCTTCTGCACAGCCCGTGGGCGGCTGCCTGCTGGTGTTGGGGCCGCACATGCAGGGCAGGGTGCCACCGGTGTGGTGGCGGGTGCTGTCTGCCACTCGGCCACAGCCGTGGTTGTTCGGCGCTCGGAGCCCAGATGCCACGCTTGGAAGGGGTTTCCGCTTTGTCACGAACTGCATTTTCTGGGTTATGCCGGGAGGGCTGCGGGCGCTGACCCTCCTTTGCGCCGTCTGCTGCGTGTCTGTGGCCAGGAGTCTTCGGAGATGCCTTAGGGTGGAAGGAGCTCCCTGGCTCTGGCCTGCGTCCCTACGTCCCTGGTTGTCTCCCTGCTGATGCCTTAGGGGCCCAGCCCTCACGGCACCCTGTGGGCTCTGGAGGACGCAGGTAGCCAGTGTCTGAGACGCTCTTGTGCGGACTGTTCAGGGAGCCATCCCGTCTGCCTCTGCTGCTCTGGCCGCCTCTGCCCCCGAGCAGTGGGGGACCTGTGGCCAGGGGCTCCCCCTGGAGGTGTTCTCTGGCCTGGCCAGGTTTTCCTGGTGTTTCCTGGCAGCACCTGCCTGTCCATGACAAAACAGGCGCGTGCCCCACACTCCATCCCAGCCCGCCAGCCCTGTCCCCACCTCACTGCTGCACGATGTCAGGGTGGCAGGCTCTGCACCCCCCCCAGCCGTTGGGTCTGAGCTCAGTGGGGCAGGACGGGCCTGGCTGCCTTCGGGCCTCTCCCTGGGGTCGTCCACCGGCGCCACGCCTGCCAGCCTGTGGAGGCCACCGCTCCCGTGGTCTCGGTCTCGGTGTCACTGTGTCCCCATGAAATGTGTGAGGAGGCAGGAGGCCTGGCAGAGCCGACTGTGCAGCAGGAAGGGTCTTTCCACTGAAGGGGGTTTCGTGTGTGTTCAGGGTAGAGAGCCACAGGGTGTGTCCAGAAGAGGGTCACCCACACAACTCCTCACTGGGGATGGAAAGGTTGTCCCCAGGGGACACTCATCCATATGCGAACCCCGCACACGACACTCGCTGCCAACCGAGACTGTAAGCACTCGAGCGCCGTTTACAGCTGCGCATGCAGTGGCTTTGTGTCTGCCTCACGGGGGTGCGACTGGCACACAGTGTGGGGAAGGCGGTGCCAGGTGCATCGGGCGTGTGCTCACCCCCAGGACTTGTCCCACAGGGGCCTCAGGCCCGCCCACCCCGTCTCAGGTGGTCACCTGTCTGCCTGTTTTATCTCCGTCAGCTCCCATCCCTCTTCCCGGCTCCCCGCACCGGAGACCCCGAACAGCTGTCCTGTCCGAGGACACGGTGGCTGTTCCAGGCCGGGGCCGTCGCCCCAAGTGCAGCGGACGTGCTCCTGCCGCCCCGGTGGGCGCTCCGTGGGGTGGGGGCCCTGCTCCCTCACCACCCAGGTGTCGTCTTTGCTGGTCCTTACTCAGATCTTTTGCCCATTTTTTTTGACCAGGAGTGTGTTTCCTTACGAAGTTCTGAGAGGTCGTTGCAGTTAGTAAATACAGGTCCTGTGTCAGGTGTGTGACCTGCAAGGAGTCTGTGCACTGTTTATGGGCTCTGTTCTGAGTCTCTTCTAAGAAGTTCGCGCCCATCCAGAGTCACGAACGTTTGTTGAGTTGCTTTCTGGGCGGTTTGTCTTTGAGCAGCTGCCTTGTGCTAATCTCACATCAGGCATGAGGTGTTGGCTGTCGTTGATGGCAGGCACCTTTGGTGACAAGGACGTCTGGTGGCTCTGTCCTCCGATGACTGGTGTGAACACCCTTTGCAGCTGGTGGGAGTGTCTCTGCACAAGAGCGGGCTCCTCTGGACACTGCGGCTGACAGTTGGTGTGGCACTGTGCCCCCAGGCTCCGTCGAGGACCCCGCAGCCAGCTTCTTCGGTGAGGAGGACGCCGCGGACGAGGAGCTGGAGGCCGCTGCCAGCCACCTGAACAAGGACTTCTACCAGGAGCTGCTCGGGGGGGACCCCAGGAGCTCGGAGGCAGCAGGCAGCCCCAGCGGGAGCGGCAGGCCCCCTGCCCTGGAGTCCCTCCTGGGGCCCCTGCCCACAGCAGCCAGCCTGGGCATCTCAGACTCCATCCGCGAGTGCATCTCACACAGCGGGGAGCCCAGTGAGTACGGGGCGCGTAGTGGGCAGGGCACAGGTTCTGGGTTTGGGTGGGCTAGGGCTGGCCCCCTGGTCTGCAGGAGGCGGAGGTGGCACTGCCAGCCCCCCTCCCTGCCCCCCCGGGTGCAGGTCTGCGGGAGCTGTCGGGTCCAGTGTGTGCCGACACCCGATGCCAGCAGGGCACCTCCCCACCCCCACCCTGGGACTCCCCACCCCCAGCCAGGACCACTGCCCGCCGGCCCAGGTCCTGGTTGGAGACCTTGGGTAGGGTTGTAGCCACAGGCTCCTTCCTGCCCCAGGGAACCTGGGAGGTGCTTGTGCAGCAGCATCCGGTGCCTCTTAGCTGAGAAGTCACAGACACACATCCCAAAGGTCCCCCAGGGACAGAGACTGGCCTCCCGTGCCTGTCCTCCTGTGCTTCTCTCACCTGGTGGGGATGTGTGGGCAGGCGGGTGTCGCTCGCTGAGCCCCATCACCAGCAGGGACAGCTGTTCCCACCACGGAACTGGCACAGTGATCTACAGCTTTTTGAGGAGGGCGACTTTGGCTCTGTCAACTCACTTCTAACAGCTGGTCCTGGTCCTTTGCTGGGAGAACCTCCCCCAGTGGCCACCATGCGGGGTTGCTGCCTGAAGGATCAGGGCATTCAGGGAAGCTGTTCAGTGCCTTAGGTGTGAATCGTGTGCCCTGGGCGGGTGGCGCAAAGTGCAGGGCAGAGGGCACGTGTGGAGGCTCTGAGGTGGTGGGGACACTGTGACCCTGGAACAGAAAGAGGCCATTCTGGCTGGAGCTGAGAGAGCAAAGGGCACAAGGGAGCCTTGGCAGGACCTCAGCTGGAAGCGTCCCAGACAGCCTGTTGCGGGCGGACTAGCACTGGCCGGACTCCGTGGAGGACCTTGGATGGCGAGGGGCAGCAGACGAGGGGCCGCCTGATTTCTGAGCCTTGAAGGTGGCGCTGTCAACCCAGCTAGGGCAGGAAGGGTGGCTGACAGGCTCTGGGTCGTCCTGAGGGCAGTTGGAGGCCCCTGGAGGCCCCCCGGGTGGTTGAGCAGAGACCTGGCAGACTGCCCTTGCTCAGTCTGGAAACTGCTCCAGACAGCAAGGACGCTGCAGGCGGGCTGTGCTCAGTAGCCCCGTTTAGCCTCCCGCTCGCTTCGGGCAGTGTGGGCTCATCTGCTCCTTCCCCTGTCCCGGGAGGGCAGTGTCTGCCCCGAGGCGGCGAGTCTGGAGCGGCGTCCTGAGAGCGCAGGTGGTATTGGCTCGAGCTGACAAGAAGCTGTGCTTTTCCCTAGAGGACACTTCGGGGGACGGCGAGCTGGACCTCAGCGGCATCGACGACCTGGAGATCGACAGGGTGAGTTCGGGCCCTGTGCCCTCTGGGCTACACCCTGTGGGACATGGGCAGCGACACAGACGTCAGTCCCGCCAGGATCATGCGCTGAGGCCCTGCCAGTCACAGGGACCCTGACCTGAGTGCCCCACAGCCGCAGACCCCCAGTCTCAGGGCTGAGAGTGCACGAGGCCTGCGGCAGGCAGGCGTGGTCCATCCCTGCTCTCAGGACATTGCACCAAAGACCACTTGTTAGTTTCCAAGTTGGCCTCTGGAGCCCTCAGCTCACTCCCTTGTTGGGACCAGGGATGGGGAGCTTGGGGGACACCCATGGGCTCCCAAGGATGAACCGTTCGTTAGTGTGGTGCACACACGCGCCCTCCTGGGTCAGGGCCCACTCCTCAACCAGGTACCCAAGTGGGAGGCGAGTTTGTGGCTGAGGGTGCTGTGTGCTCTGCCCAGTACATCCTGAACGAGGCAGAAGCCCGTGTGAAGGCCGAGCTGTGGATGCGGGAGAACGCCGAGTACCTGCGGGAGCAGAGGGGTGAGTGCCCGGCCCCACCCAGGGCCCCCCAGGGTCAAGGCCCTTGCTGACCCAGCACTTGTCGGCCTTTCAGAGAAAGAAGCGCGGATAGCAAAGGAGAAGGAGCTTGGCGTATACAAGGAACAGAAGGTAGGGGGCCCACCTGCCCTTCGGCTTCAGGGGCAGCCCTAGGCAGGGTGTTGGCAGGTGCTGTGGGCCTGTTTTGCCACCCACCTAGTTGGTGGTCACAGTGAGGGGCTGAGCTTTCTTCTGTGGCTAGATGGTGCTGTCCTGCCAGGGAGCTCCCAGGTCGGGGGGCAGCCAAGCCTGTGACCAAGCCAGAGGAGAGACAGGGCTTGGCCTGAGGCCACTGGGAGGCTGCACTTGAGAGCCTGGGGTCATTGGCCCATGATGGGGGCCACATGTGACAGCTGGTGGGCCGAAGAGGCGGCATAGGGGACTCCTGCAAGTGGTTTTCAGCTCGGCACCCAGGAGATGGTCAGGGGACCACACCTCCCTGCCGGCAACACAGCCAGAGCGCAGGACACCTGACCCCTGTCTGCTGGGCCTGGCAGGACATGGCATGGCGGGCTGTGGGCACTTTGCAGCACCAGGCCAGGCTTCCTGCTGACAGTGCTGCCTGGGGCCCTGCTCCCTGGACAGGGTGCAGTTGGGCAGCATGGGCCATTCCCCCCGCCCCAAGAGAGGAGGAGGGCTTGGCCTTAGGTTCGCTGAGCCCTGTCCTCCCCTGGCGTCCTGAGAAGTAGTTAGGGGTTTGAGGGCACTGACTGCGGTGACAGGGGGTGTGACTGGTGTGTCCCCTCCAGCCCAAGAAGTCCTGCAAACGCAGGGAGCCGATCCAGGCCAGCACGGCCGGCGAGGCCATCGAGAAGATGCTGGAGCAGAAGAGGATCTCCAGCAAGATCAACTACAGTGTGCTCCGGGACCTGGACAGCAAGGGTGGGGGCGGCACGCAGAGGCCGGATGCACGGCCCGAGGACAGGGCCAGGGCCAGCGCCAGGAAGCTGCCTCGGAGGAAGAAGCCGGCCAGCAGGAGTGGGGCTGACCCAGTGACCAGCGTGGGGAAAAGGTGCCATGCTGGGTGGGCGAGGTGGGGCAGGAGTCGCATGCTGGGGAACACCCTGCCCATGAGTCCGTATGCCAGGCCCGGTCCTTGTGGGGCTGGGCCCAGCAGGTGCAGTGGGTCCTCTGAGCCACCCCCCCCAGTGGAGCGTGTGGCCCCAGCTTCCCCAGCTGGGCCTGCGGGGAAGCAGCGACAGTGCACACACTGCACTGTCCCCCTGGGGTGGGTCGGCAGCACTGAGGAGCTCTGGGTATTTCCCCCTTGGTCCCTTGCAGACAACAGTGGGGAAAGATGCTCTGGCCGAGCGTCTAGAGGAGGGAGAGCAGGCCCAGCGGAGGGGGTGCTGCTAGCACAAGTCAGGGTACCCCTGCTGTGGGCCAGGGGCTGGGTAGAGGGGTGACCAGAGTTGTTGGACTGGGAGGAGAAGGTCAGACAGGGCCCCAGAGCGCTGCTCCTCCCCTCACCCCTCCCTCCTGTGATTCCCTGCAGGTTGAGGCCGTTGGTGTCTGCACAGCCAGCTAAGAAGGCGGCCCTGGGAGAGGTGCTTGTGTGGACGTGGGGGCGGAGCCTCGCACTGGGAATGCAGGCCCGGGGGAAGGTGGGATGCCAGCCACACTACTCTGCATGGGAAGGGGGCATCCTGAGCCCAGGGTGCCCAGGAGAGATGTCCTGGGAATGGGCCTGGGGCCTGCGGAGCACAGCCCTGCCCCGACCACCTATGGGCCGTCCCTCCTGGGCCATCACCCAGGTCACCCAGAGAGCCTCTGGGGAGTGAGGCCATAGCCCCAGGTCCATCCTGCCTGTGCCAGCCTTCCCTGCCTGAATGGCAGCCTTTTCAGGGGGCCAGGCCCTCCTGGGACGGGGCTCAGGGTTTTCCCTCCTTGTGGTCAGGGCTGTGGTCTGGCTCAGGAAGCCAAACAGAGAAGCAGCAAGGGCTTAGCAGGGAGCAGGTTAGGGAGCCTGCTCAGCACCGTGCCCCAGAGCCTGCCCCTCTGTCACAGACCCTGCCCCCAAGCACCCCCACCCCAGGAGCTGAGCCCGGGAGGCCCTCGGCAGTGGTGGTGGAGAGTGGGCCAGTGTCATACCACCCCGACGAGGACGCGGAGGAGGAGGACCCAGACGAGGAGGACGGGGAGCCCTGCGTCAGCGCCCTGGAGATGCTGTGCGGCAGCGGTGAGGGCCCGCGGGGCCATGGGGCTGGCGTGGGCAGTGGTGTCCAGGGAGAGGGCACTGACCATCTGCTGGACAGCCCTCCGCTGAGGTCTGTGCGCTGTACACTCGGCCTGTTTTACCCTAGAAGGAAATCGGAGTGAAGACACTGAGTTTCGAGGCCCTCGGTGTGCTAGGCAGAGCTGGCCAGGCCCTCCCCATCGGGGAGACTGTGGGTGCTGGGCAGGTGGGGTTGGTGCAGCCCGCACAAGTGGAGCGTTCTCCCACAGGCAGGCTGTTGGCCCCCAGCACCTGCAGGGACCAGGTGGCAGTCCCAGACTTGGGGGGGGGCTGTGTGGCCACAGCCCAGCAGCTGGTACCAGAGCATCTAGGGGGCAAGGGAGGGGAGCCTGGGCGCTCTGACAGCACGACCCTCCTCAGCGGCCACGGTTGTCCTTTCTGGTTTGCAGATTACGGCTGTGACGGTGACGATGATGATGGCTACTAAGGCGTGACCCGGCAGTGGGCAGTGTCCTGGTGGTGGACCCTGCTGGTGTCTGAGAAATCAGGCCGGGCCTTGGGCCCCCAGGGGTGAGCACGGAGACCCCTGTGACGAGAGGTGCTGCCCGGCCTGCTGCTCAGCCTCTGCCTCACGGCCTCGTGGCCTCGAGTGGGGTCCGGGGCACAGCGCTCTTCTGAATGGTGTGAGGCGAGTTTCTGTCCAGAACAGGGGACTGGACCGCTGCCCACGTGTGACTGATCAGACACAGGTCTCATAGCCCAAGAGCCCTCTACAGGCGTGACTGTGGGGTTTCCGTAAGGAAACTGAGGCACAGGGAGGCCAGCTCCTGTCCCAGTGAGTGGGGCCTCGGGGGCTCCGGGACCCTGCTCTCTGCCCTTCATGGGGCTGGGTGCCCTGCACTTGCCACCTGTAGTCACTGAGAAGCACTGTGTCTACTCGTCCCTCTGTGGGTCCAGGGCTGGTCCTGGACCTCTAGTTGCGGGGTCCAGCCAGACCCTGGCCTCCCTCCCACCACTTCTGCGCTGGGACCAGGCGGAGGGGGCTACTCCCCACCCTTGAGCCCGGAGGGCCTGAGCCAGGAGAGCAGTGGCCGCCTGTGTCTGCACCGGCGTCTGGCCCCGCACCCCAGAGGGGAGGCGGGCAGGTTCCTGAGCTGGGCCGTCCTGCTCCAGAGGGCTCCTGCTGCCCAGTACCGCCCAGGGGCCAGGCCTCAGGCCTCAGCACGGGGAGGCCCAGAGACCACTGCCCGGGTTGGCACTGCTCTGGACATGTCTTCAAGGGCTGGGCTTCGGCCTTTTCCTGCTGCCTCAGAAGAGGGTGGCCTCAGGGGCAGGCCACCCTACACTGCCTCTCTGGGCTAGCACTTGGTCCCTTGGGGTGGGCTGGGCCTCCTCCCAGAGACTTGGAGTCTGAGGTCAGGACGTGGAGGCCATGTGTCTGCGGCCCTCTGGGGCCGGCCGGCACCCTGGGCCACCTGGGAGGTGGATGGGGGCTGGGTTCTAAGCACAGGAAGATGTTACTTGAGCAGAAACCCACTGAGGCTGTGGTCTGGTGATTCTGTGTGTGGCTTTGTGGCCTGCCCTAGAGGGACACAGCCCCAGGGAGGCTGCAGGGGCAGGCGGGGCCGGAAGACTACTTGTGGGGGGCAGCGTGGCCGTGCGTGTGTGGCTGAGGTAGGCGTACAGCCCCTCAGAGGAGGGGCTGGTGGGGAAGAGCTATGCCCTGGGAGGGGGGCGAGGAGGACCTGACACAGGGTCCTCAAGCAGTGGGGTCAACGCCACACGGACATGCAGGCAGCGAGTGATGGGGAGGCCAGCGGCTAGACAGTGCCCGTGTGCAGGTCACTGCCGCCATGCCTGTTGGCCCAAGGGGAACTCGTGCCCTCCACCCACACTGGCATTACCCTCCCCAGCACTCACATATCCAGATGCCCAAAGGTCAGGTCCCTCCAGCTGCTGGCCCAGAAGTGGCCCAGGGCTGACGCCTCGGGGCTGTCACTGGAGGGGCTGTGGCTGCTGCTCCAAGCCTCTCCCCCAGGGGCTGGCACAGGACCGTCCCCTATCTCCAGTCCTGGGGCCTCCCTGTCATGCGCTGAGCAGAGCCTCTGCTCTGACTTCTCAGAGGTCAAGGTCAGCACAGGTGCTGGGGGAAATTCATGGGCTCCTCTGTGGCTCAGCTGAGGCCAAAGGCAAAGGGGCTTGAGTGACAGCTCAAGGTCACCCAGCTGGGCCCACATACCTGACAGCCTCTGTCACCTGCAGCCCCATGGTGGGTTCTGGATGAGCCAGGCCTGCAAACAAACCGCAGGGCCAATGGCCATCCCACACTCCCAGGAGCACCCAAGGGCCTCCAACAGCAAAACCACTGAGGCCTGTGCCCCTCGGAGTTCTGCCCACCTGCCATCACAGGTTCCAGGCCACACCACCTCTCCGTCCAGGCTGCCCAGGACCTGTGCACCCTGGAGACTGAGGCACTGGCACAGCAGCCTGTCTCTCCTCTAGGTGCCTCCCCGCCCGCCCCCCCCATTGCTCTCTGGTGCTATTGGGTAAGTGAAGGCTGGGTGAGGCCAGGTCTGACCTGGGGGCTGCTTTATGGGGAAGAGCCTGGTTCAGGACAGGCTGCCTGGGCCCAGCAGGGGTGTGGAGCAGGGCAGCCATCCTGCGGGCTGCTGCAGCACAGAGGGGCCCTGGGGTCACAGTGGGACAAACTCAGGGACTCATACTGTGGTTGTGGGCCTACAGCGGGGATGGGCTACCCAGGGATCAGCTCCTGAGGGTCCCTTGTGGCAACTGGACCACATTGCCTGTGTTGTGGGAGAGCTGGTGGACAGCTCCACTCTGTCCCACCTGTGGCCACTTGGCTGCCCCTGGGGGCCACCTCCGTCCAGTGTTGACTCCTCTGTCCAGTCTGGTTCTCACCAGTCTTCCTGTCTCTAGGCCCCAACTGGGGTCCCCTGCCCCCAGGAACACTCCTTTCTCTGAACAATAAAAAGCACAAACCACAGAACCATGGGCACATGTGAGGCCTTGGGCTGGGTCTGGGGACTCGGTTTTCATTAAGGCCCCAAGCATGTAGTCCTGTCTGTGGGGCTACACTTCCTCACCATGGCTGCTGTGCCACAGGGCCACACCCCTCATGGGCTCCCTGGCTTGCTGTCCTCGTCGTCATCACTCTCACCTGCCCTTCCTAGGGTATGGCCCCCCTTGCCTAGCAAGATAGTGGAGCCCTAGTGTGGGAGACACTGCCAGCCCCACTGCAGGACTGGCCCAGGCCCCAGGCAGCAGGGGCCAGGTGTGCCTGCTGGAGGCTCAGCCATTCCAAGACCCTCTCCTCAGTCTCGCACATGCACCTTGATCCCTTGGGGGAACTCCAACGGTCCAGCTGGTTCCCATGGGGTGGACGCCTGAGCCCAGCTTCTGTGCTGTGGGGGGGTGGGGACATGCCTGCATGTGGTCAGCAGTGTCTGACTGGTCAGGGCCTGTCTGGTGCCTACGTGCCTGGAGGGCTGGCCAGTCCCTGGGGAGGCCTGGGTCCCTGCCAGGCTGGCAAGGGGTGGGGGCTGAGGCCTCAGGTTCTGACTGCCCACCCAGGTCCTTCAAAGGGCAGAGTGCAGGCTCTTTATGGCTTTCCTGCTGGGAGAGGGACCTGGCTCCGGAAGCCATTGTCCCCACACAATGGGCCCTTGGGGACCTGTGAGGGCAGGGGCCCCAGACTGGTGGGATCTGGTTCTGAACCTGACTTCTGCCAGTGACCCTGACACTGTCTGCAACAACTTCATGGCCACCCCAGCCAGTGGTCAGTACTCCAGAGTGAGAGCAGGATGCCAGGGAGAGGATGAGACAGGGGTGTCGTGGAGTTCAGCAGGCCTTTGGGCAGGCGCGGTGACCACAGCCGGGCTGAGGTCCAAATGGGAGTCTGCTGGGCTTGCCAGGGTCAGTGCCAGACCGTGTGGGGACTTTCCGGGCAGGGCTGCTTCCCACAGAGCTGTAGACCGCTGTCACTGGTCTTGGTTCTCTGAACGTTGAGGAGGGCATAGTGATCTCACGGTCTGGGACATGGGGCCCTTGGGACTGCCCATGCACGTGGGGGCACAGCCATGCCAGGCACTCCTCAGCTCTACGGGCTCCTCAAGTGTGGGAGGCACCGGGCACAGCCAGCAGGTGGCGCTGCAAGATGCCCAGGTGAACCAAGGGGCGTGAGCCTCCCGCAGGGAGAGTATGTGTGGCAGGGGTCAGTGCTGTGAGGTGTCCCCTACATAGGGGGGCAGTTGTTTGGGAGGGAGCCCTCAAACAGCTGATTCCTTTGCCCGTTTAACACCTGCTTCAGGGCAGACACCTGGCTCGGGGTGTGGGGAGCAGGGATCTGCGTGTTCAGAATGATGGGAACCTTTGGGGCCTCAGTTCCCTCTCCAACTTCAGTTCCGTTCTTCCCCAGGGTGTCTCAGGTGCACTGGGCCATGGGTGGGTGTGGGGTGAGGCAGCAGACTGGGTTTCCACTAAGGGTCCCATAAAACTCAGAGACTAGTTCGCAGGAATAGGGGCATCCCTCTGGAGGCCCCAGGGTGGGGGAGGGGTAGGCTGGAGGACTTCCTGGAGGAGGAGGGGTCCACACTGGGTCGCAAAGGAGTTGGTAAGGATGCATTGGGGTACAGAAGAGGCCAGTGGGCTGCTGACCTGGGGCCTGGTGACAGCATTCAATGTAGGAGGTGAGGGCCTCAGTGTGGAGGGGCAGGGTTCCCAGAGGTTGAGGTATCGTTTTCGTGTGGGGGTACAGCCGAGCTGTGGGTGGGGAGCAAGCACACGGCAGAGGTGGAAGAGTGTGCTCAGCTCTGGTGGGCCCTGTCCCTGGCCTCATGCTGCTTACTGCAAGCCCTTGGGGTGGGGAAGCCTCAACCCTGCTGCCTCGTGGTGGGAAAGATGCTGGCAGATGGGGAAGGGAGGGAGGGCAGGGCTGGGGACCCCACCAGGGCCCTTGGGACACAGCAGCCAGCCAGGTGGGGGCTGGTGGGCAGGTGTTGGTCAGGGTGGCCCCACAGCAGACTCTCAGTGAGTGCTGTTGACCTGGAGTTACAGTCAGAAGCTGCTGACCTCCCACTCCCTGCAGCCCAAAAGCAGAGCTTGGTGCTGGGCAGAGGCCTAGTGGGCCGGTGTCTGCCCATGCAGGCCCTTGTGTCCATGGCCATGCCTGGCTGTGCCCAAGGAGGAGGGGTACTGTGAGACATCAAAGTGGGCTATGGAATCCCAGGTGGCCACCGGCAGGAAGAGCAGCTGAAGTGTTGAGGCAGAGTGGAGGGGTGAGTGGCAGGCAGGCCAGGGTGGGCATGTGCCCGTCCGAGGTTTAGACTGTGCCACCTGCTCAGGCCTCAGAAGGGTAACGGTTCCCCAGGTGGTGGGGTGCTCACAGCCCATTGTGGGAGAGGCAGGCAACCAGGTGGGGCTACCTGGCTCCTTGGAGGCGTTTCCCCAGGCGGCGTTTCCTCCGAGTGGTGGTTTGGACAGCCCTGCTGAGGCACCCAACTGACACAGGCCTCAGGTGCCCCAGCGCTCAGCCATGGCCTAGGCCACTGCTTGCTGGCCCACCAGAGAGCCCCAATGCCAGTGACACTGCTCACTGCCACTTGTGTGGCTCCTGTGTCATCAGCACCCTCCACACAGCCCCTGTCACCGCACATCCCACCCCCCGCCTCTGGGATGTGGGCACAGTCACCTCCTATGCCCTCTCCCTACCAGGACTGGCCTCCAGTGGCCATTTCGCCACAGCCACTGCCACCGTCACGGCAGACCAGAATGGGCAGGACAGGTCTGAGAGCAGTGGGGGTCAGCGTGAGGTCCCCATTCTGGTGGGGACCAGAGCCTGGGCACACTGCCCAGCCATGGCTATCCACCTGTGCTCCTGGGTTCTGTCCTGCAGACACTGGCTTCTCCCTGACTCCATCCTGGGTCGGGGTCCTCCTGCTGGGTTTGCCCTCTCTGCCCTCTTCCCTTAAAAAATGCAATGCAGGTGTCACCTCCTCCAAGAAGCCTTCCATGCCCACCAACTCTCCACAGCTGGGTCCAAGCTCTCTCCTGGGTCCTGCAGCCTAGGAGTGTCTGTCCTGACCTTGCCCACCTGCATCATCTCTGTCCTGGGTGGGGAAGGGTTCCCACAAAGCCAGGGGCTTGTCGAGGGCAGGGCCTACTGGTTGGTGGATGCAGGGCCAGAAATACTGGCAGAACTCTTGGCTGGACAGATGGGAACAGGAGGCTGCTGTGGGCCTGAGCTCCTGGGTCCTCCCCAGACCCTCACCCTATCCAGGAAGAGAGCCTGCCTCAGTTCCCCCAGACCTACCGGTCTGGTCCCTCTCAGCGCCCCCTGCCCCTGTGGCTTTCCAACCCAGGGGTGGCAGGATGCTGGGCTCCTTCCAGATGTTGGGGCCCCACCCCCCAACACGCCCACACTTGCCACTGCTCTGATTAGGATGTGTATGTGCCTCACAAAACCTCCAGGTCAGGGGTGCGGAGGACGGTGCTCCTGGGCTTTGAGCCAGCGCAGAGACCGCTGCCCTCTGCTATACGGCTCAAGTGTACGCATCCTCCTTCTGCTCCCTAGACGCCGGCTCTTGGGCCCAGGTGCACTTTTGTGCTGGGGGCCCAGAAGTTGTGGCCCCCAGGGCAGAGTCCCAAGGAAGTAGGGCCCTGAGTAGCTTCCTGGAAGGCTTACCGGGACCATTCCCCCGCCCCCGTAGGCGCTGCCCCCGGCACAGCGAGCCTCCAGCGACCCTCGCAGGAAGCCCTGCGTGGGGACCAGCAGGGCGGCCCTCCGGGGCCACCGTTTTCCTCGAACGAGATGAAGGAGGTGCAGCGAGGTGTCGGCGTGTCCCAGCTGCAGGACTTCCGACGATCTTTGGGGGAGATGGCGGACCACACGCCCTCTCCAACGCGGGCCTCGTCCGCCGTGCGAGAGCCAGGCGGACAGCCGGGGACAGACTCCGGCGCCGCGTGCGCGCCCGTCTGGGCTGAGGGCGGGGCCCGTCTGCTGAGCGAGGTGGGCGGGGCAGGGCGGGGCCGCTCCCGGGAGCAGCTGGATGGGTCCCCGTGAGCCGCCAGCCTCGCGCTCCCGCCCCGGGTCCCCAGCCTGGGGTGCCCGCGGAGGCTGAGCTTCGCGGAGCTGGGTCTTATCAGCGCGGGCAGCTGGCGGCCTATCCGTGCGCGAGCGCCCCGGCCCAATTCAATGGCCATTGTCCGCCGGCCTCTTTGTTCAGGAGGTGGCCACTTCCTGCGGGGCTGGGCTGGGACAGGCGGGCGGAAACGCTCCGAGCCGCGGCCTGGACGCCGAGGCCGCCCGGGCCTGGGGTCAGAGGCGATGACCACCACCCCACCCTGCCCCCACAGGGCGTCCTGGGCTTGGAGCCCGGCAGGGAGTGAAGCTGGGTCAGCCCAGCCCTCTCCTCTCTGGTCGGGGGTCTGTGTGCTGGCTGCAGAGTGGGCAGACGGGCATGACCCCTCCTGTGGTGTCCTTAGTGGAGACTCTGTAGGGGGTGCCTTCTGCCCCTGTCGGGGTCTGACAAGCTCCGAGAGGGTCACAACAGCATGGCGCAGTGCTCAAGCTCCAGGGGGTGGAAACCCAGCTCCCACGTTTCCTTGCCGCAAAAGGAGGCGCCGCTCAGGACTCCAGGCCGGGATGCTGGACTGCAGCATGGGGGGGGGGTGATGGTGTGGGGCCCAGGTGCTCCCCAACCTGGGCCAGGTCTCCTGTCCCACCTATTCTGGGCTGGGCCCTACCTTGCAGTTCTGCCCTCCATAGACAGGTTGTCTCTTTGGGCCTCAGCAAGCCTCCCCCTCCCGCGTCCCCTGTGCTCCTGGGTCAGGTCCGGGCAGATGGATGGGGCCTCAGGCAGGGGGTCGCCCACAGCTGGAGTGAGGGGTGATGGGAGCCAGCCTGCCCTGCAGCTCACCGAGCCTCCTCACCAGGCTGGCTGAGGTAAGACAGCTCTGCACCCCAGCATGGTGGGGACGTTGGCCTGACCCCTGCCTGCCCCTCTTCCTAGTGCCTGAGAACCCCCAGCAGTTCCTGGCCATCAAAGCCCTCCCCTGACTTACTCACCCCAACTCCATCCACCATGGGCGGCCAAGCGGAGGGATTTCACTGGGGAGTTGGTAACAAAGGGCTTGGGAAGGCTGGGGGAGCACCAAGGGCAGAAACGGCATCCCGGAAACTGGGTGCTGCAGGTGGCTGCTGCCCGGGGCCAGAGGAACAAGAGGAGAGTTGTGACCAGAACCCTCAGGCCAGGCTGCTGGCAATTGCCCACCCCCCTCCCCCACCCCAGCTCCTCAGCCGTAGCACAGGGCGGGGGTAGGGGTGCAGGTGAAACAAGGTGTCTCTCAGAGAGCACCCAGAACAGCCCTGGAACTTAGGAGGCTCTTTGGGAAGGTCAGCCAGTGTTTATAAAGGGCCTGAGCACCCCCCAGGGGCAGAGGAGCCAGGCCATCCTGCTGCCTTGGCCTGAGGATCTGGAGGTCAGAAGGTCCAGGAGAGGTGTTTGGAGCTTGAACTTGAGTCCATCTGGGGGCCAGATGGGGACTACGTGTAGCAGACAGAAAACACGTGTGAGACACTGAGGGGGAGCCCCAGGCCCTCCCAGGGCACCTGCGCTGGGAAATGGAGGACCGGCAGGCGGGTGGCGGGAAGGGGGCCTCAGCTCCATGGCTCTGCCCTGGGCTGGGAGCAGCTGGGGCACTGAGGCCTCCGCCCGATGCCACGTGGGTCCAGAGGGCAGTGCGGGCCGCCGTCAGGTGAGCTCTGGCAGCAGGATGTGTGAGGAGAGCATGGCCGGGTGGCCGCGTGGACCAGCCTCACACTGGTGTCAGAGACGCCCCAAGAGAAGGGTCGCGTGTGTTCCCAGGCAGGTAGTTTGGTGCCACGGTCTCCATGCCGTGTGCCCTAAAGGGGATGGGCGGGGGATGAGACCCAGAGCCGCCAGGGAGCGGTGGTCTGGCTACAGTGGGGTTCTGGTGTGGGGGTGGCAGAGATCTCAGGAGCAGGCGGCAGGGTGGTCAGCAGGGGCCTCGTCCAGGAGATACCAAGGTTGAGTGGCTGGAGAGGGGGGCAGTGGGGTAGGGGTGGTGGCCAGCCACTCCTGGGTGATGGAGCCCCCACCCTGGGGCGAGCTAACTGCAGGTATGACGTGGGGAGGCTGGCTGACGGGCTGTGTGCCCCGCAGGGCTCAGGGCTTCTCAGAGTGGGCTTGGGAGGGGTGACGAGCCAGCGGGCAAAGGCAGAGGGGGAAGGTCAGCACCCTCATCCAGCCTCCCTGAGGGAGGGCTCAGTGGCAGCCCAGGGCCCTGCGGCTGCCCCACCCTACCCTCACACCTCTTCCCAGAAGGAAAAGCCCCCAAGGGTGCCCTCAGGACCCTCCTGCTACCAGCAGGGCAAGCCTCAGGCCCCTGAGCTGGTCAGATGTCCCCAGGGCTCTGGGTCTGACTACCTGAGCCATCCGTGACCGCATGCCACCCAGGACCCGCTGGTGGGCACCCTGACTCGACCCCCCGCACAGTGGCCCTCATAGGCAGCATTGCTCAGCCTCCCACACCTAGGGAAGCCTCCGGGCCGCCCCCCCGGCCCCCACCAGTGCATCCACCTCCCCTTGAACCTGCTCCCTCCACGCCATGGGTGTTCAAGCCGTGGCGTGCCTTCCCTGACCTCTTGGGGCCAGAGACCCACTGCCCTGAGAAGCTCTCCTCAGGCCAGTCCTCCGCCCCCTCCCATCCCCCAACCGGAGCTCGAACCTGCAGCCCCTCTTCCAGCCCCGGGGTTGTTGCTGCCCGTCCAGCTCAGGCCCTCTGCAGGTGGTCGAGCTGCTGCGGCTGAGCTGCGGTGGGGGCGGGGGGGGGGCAGGCGCCCAGGGGGCGGCGGGCGGACCTGCGCCTGCTTGGGGCCCCAGCCGGGCAGACTTGGCTGGAGGCTCCTCTTTGTGGGAGGTCTCCGTGCGAGCCGCTCCCCAGGCACAAACGCAGGAAGCCGCCATTCTATGAGACTCTATTTTCTCCCACTGAGGGGAAAGTCTGTCACACGGAGGTCATTGTTCCCTGGCTCCCGCTTTCCGGGCGGACTTGGTCTGCCGTGGGGCTTGTGCGCCCCTGGGGCTCCCAGTTGAGCTGTTTCCCTTCGAGACCCAGGGGCGCCTAGAGGTTGGGAATGTGGGGCCTTGGTCGAGCCACTGCCGCAGGGCTGGGGCAGCCGTGCCCACAAGGCTGTGTGCGGCTCTGGAGCCTGGAGCTTGAGTTTGCTCTGTGCTGGGGGCCGGGGTGGGGGTGGGGTGGTGTCACAGCCGAGGCCCCGTGCACCACTCACAGCTCTGACTGACGCTGGACCTGAGGGTCCAGAGCCCACTCCTCCCTCCCCTCCCCCCCCCAGGAGGGCAACCCCAGCCCACTCTACACCCCTCCCAGACCTGGTCAGGCTGCTCCTGCCAGTGGGCCTGGTGCTTCCGTGATGCCTGGGGGACAGGGGTGGGCCGGGCCCCGTTGGCAGTGGAGTGGCGGCAGCCCAAACCGGTACCATTTTGTCGAAATGCACACGTAAAACAACAGGACATGTGCCGTTGAAAATAAAGGATGGAGAACTTTTCAAGGAGAGCTGGGGTAGTGACTTTAATAAACAAAAACATAGATTTTAAAATAATAGCATCAGCCCTGGCTGGTATGGCTCTGTGGACTGAGTGCCAGCCAGTGACCCAAAGAGTCGTGGGTTCAATTCCCAGTCAGGGCACATGCCTGAGCTGCAGGCCAGTCCCCAGTAGGGGGCATGTGAGAGGCAACCACACATCGATGTTTCTCTCCCTCTCTAAAAAGAAAATAAAATCTTTTTTAAAATAAAAAATAATAGTATCACAAAGGATAAAGAGGGACACTGATACTTTTGACATGAGCAGCAGATAAAATAAATAAATAAATATATATATATATCTAAAACACGGCCTCAGAAGACACCATGCAGCCGCGGACAGCCGGCCTGACCAGCTGCAACACCCCCGCCCCTCTCAGCACCAGCTCCAACCTTCCTGAGCAGACACAGGCAGTTGGATGGTGCGATACACAGAGAGATGCACACGCTTTTCTAGTCCAAAAGGGACATTCTCCACATCAACATGAAGAAGTCTCATACTGGCTTGAGGTGTGAAGCAGCCAGAATGGCTGGTAAGCAGACATCGAAGCAATGCCTACAAAACACTGCAGGAAAGTGGTTTCCAGCCCCGCCAGCACTCACACGGGAGGGCGGACAGGCAGGTGTCCCAATGTGTCTTCCCTGCTCTGTCTCCGGAACCTCCTGTGGGAGGAGCTCCACTGAAATAAGACGCCTGGCGTGGGGACCCCAGTGTCTAGTGCAGGAGCCGGGGTGTCTGTGCCTGTCGGCCACCCAGGGTAGACAGTGTGACACCAGAGATGGCACCTCTGGGGCAGCTGAGGATGTGGCTTCCCCGGGAGCGTCTGCTTTGGCCCGCCCCGGACCCAGAGGACTGAGAGGGCCCCGGGGGTTAGAAGCAGAAAGGCAGAGCCCTGCCAGACGTCCAGGAGGTGGGGGTGCTTGGATGTCACCCCTACAGCGTCTGTGTCCCTGCCTGCTGATGGCCCCAGAGTGGCTCCTGGAGACTCTTAGGGAGGCAGAGGGCGGACTGGACCTGGGCTTTCGGCCCCTTTTCTCCCGGGGCCTTCGGTGGAGCAGTTTGTCGAAACAAAAGGGAACAGAGGTCGGGGGTGCATGTGGGATGGTCCAGGGGGTTGTTCTCAGCGTCTGGAGGAAGTGACTCCAGTGGGGCCAGCCCCGCCCCCACCCCCGAGCTTCCGGGGTACCAGAGATGGGCTCCTGTGCGTCTGTCTGCCCGCTTTTCCTCAGACTGCACCTTGCAGGAACACACCTTGTGCCTTCTGCACGGAGGACACCCCTCACGTCTGATCATCTGAGTCAGTGGGGCTCCTTCACCGGGGCCACAGGGCCCGACGGGAGGCGGGTGGCATCACCGTAGCAGCCAAACAGCGCAGGGCGCAGGGCCCCTGGGGAGCTGGTCGGTCGTGCACTCGGTGGCATCAGGAAAGGGGAGGGGCGCCTTTCTGCAAACTGAGGGAAACTCTGGCCCAGAAGCCCCCGCTTGTGGAAACCGATGACCGTTCACGCACCAGGGTCTGGGCCCGGCACGGGGGTGCACAGCATGCCCCGAGCACGCACCCTGGAGGTGACCGCCCCAACCTGGGCCGGGCCTGGGAGGAGGAGGTCAGGTGGGTGCAGAGTAGATGTGGCCCTGCAGGGTTCAGCCTCCCGGCACACACGTGTGCACACTCACACACACACCCGTGTCCCTCTCTCCTGTTTGCACCTCAGACCTCAGGCGCACTGGGACCGTGCGTGTGGGCACGCTGCAGCAGGCTCAGAAGCACGTTCTTCCCACGTCCCCTTCCGCGAGGCCTGTTTCGAACCACTGCCTTTTCAGCTCCTTCCCGCTGTGGCGGCTCATTCCACACCACCTGGTATTTGGTGGGACGCTGTTCTGGGGGTGCCTGAGGGCGTGTGGATGAGGTTAGCGTGTGGAAGAGCTGCAGCCTCCTCCTCCTTCGGTGGGGCCGACAGAGTGAAGGTGGAAGGAGGGGTCCGCTAGGGCCTGATGGTCCAGCAGGATGTGGGTCCCCCGCCTGGGTTCTGTGCGGCCCCCAGCTCACCGAGCAGACGTGGGGCCTCCAGCCCCCGCGCTGAGTGGGTCGAGGCAGGAATCAGCACAGGGCGCTGAGGCAGAAGAGGAAGTCTGAAGGCTGACCCCTGGCCCCCTGCAGGTCTGGGGTCCTTGGGAGACCTGAGCACGGAGCAGGAGGCAGGGTCAGTGGACACTGTCTGTGCAGCTCAGGCCGGACGTAGCAAAGGGCCCTGATGCTGATGCTGTCCTTCATCTTGGGTCTGTCATGTCAGAAACTCCCTGACCGGTCTCCTCATCTGTCACCCCATCTGGGGGAGGGCTGAGCCCTGGAGGAAGCCAATGCCCACTTGTCCACCTGCCCAGGCCACTGAGAACTGTCTCCAGCCTGCGGCTACCAGGAAGCCCCGTTCACCTGGCTACCTGGGCTCCCAGCCCCCCGCCCCGGACCCTGTGAGGCCACCCTCCCTCCCCTCTCATCCTCACCTCTGACACAGAAAAGGAAGGTGGCAGCTGGCAGGAGCATCTGGGTGTCTTGCCCGCTCCTGCCCCCTGCAGCGGGGGTTTCCTTCCAGTGTCCCAAGGGCCCTAACCCCCCCAAGGCTCCTACTGGCATGGACCGGACGGTTCTGACATGGGCCCGGCCAGCATCCACACCCTGACCCCGGAACCTTCGGCAAAGAGGTGATTAAGTAGAGGACCCTGCGCTGGGGGTGGTGTAGGGGCCGTGCCAGATTGCTCAGCCACCAAGCAGGTCTCCAGAGCCCCTCAGCAACAGACCCAGTGGTGGTTTCTCAGAGGCTCTGTGGTCCCCTCTGGGTCCTGGCCGTGGTTCTGAGCTGCCAGGACACACGAGACGCTGCAGGAAAACAGCCAGACTCATGCCCGTGCAGAAACCCGCTCCCGCTGTTATCTTGTCCACAGGCTGCAGTGGCCTGGACTGGCCCCAGGGCACGTGGGGCGTAGCTGGATGGCCACAGTAAACCCTGAACAGTCTCACTGGCACTTTTTCTTTTAAAGTTGAACTGAAATTCACATAACCATTCACTAACCATTCACTAACCATTTCACTGTGCACAGTGGCATTTAATGCATGCATAATGGTGTGTTTCAGAACATTCTCACACCTCAAAAGGAAACCCTGTCCTCCTCAGCAGCCCCTCTCCCACCCCCACCCAGATGCCAGCAACCGTTAATCTGCCTCCCACGCGTAGGACTTTACCTGTCGGGGAGGCTTCACACTGATGGATCCTAACACTTGTGACCCCTGGGGTCTGCTGCTTCCCCACAGCCAGTATCCGGGCCCCCACCAGGGCAGGCATCAGCACTGTTGCCTTGCACAGTGACGGATACTTGGCCCCATGGCCAGACCAGCTTGCTTACCGTCACCTGTTGAGGGCCATGAGGGTTCAAGCTGCTGTGGACGGGGCTGTTGGCACAAGTGTCTGTCTGGAGCACCCTCCCACTCCTGGGGCGATACTGGGAGCCGGGCTGTCAGTGGAGGGAACGGAATGCTGCAGGCACATGCCCGCACTACCAGCGCCCCCACTTGCATTGTCACAAAATGTCACTTCCCTGAACCGGAGGAAAGCTGCACTCTGTGCAGACAGACACCTATTCTCACCACCGCTGCACACGCTCTGTGGTCAGTTCCCACCTGCACACGGCCGCAGGCGGGAGCACCCCGGGGCCCTGGGTGCTTGGAGGAAGAGGCCCAGCTGGCCTGACTGTTGGGCTGGGGGGACAGCTTCTGGGACCAACTGTCTGGTAGTGGTCTCTCCAGCCTCCAGGGCACCAGGGCAGGGTTGGGAAGCACAATCCCCTCCAGAGTGGGCTGATTGCCAGCCAGTCTCTGATGATAATCCCTATGAACCAGGCCTCCCAGTGCCCCCAGGCCTGTGAAGTCCTCTCCCTTGGGATCTGGGGTGGCCTGGGACTTTCTCTGTGACACCCACTACCCAGGGGGAATGACAGTGCTTGACTTCCAAGGCTCGGTCAGAAGCCTGGCCACGTGGCTGTGTGCTGGGGGAGTTGGCCACCACAGAACAGCTGCTGAGACCACAAGGCGGGGGGGAGGCCCAAGCCAGCCCCACTGGAGAGGCCACACAGTAACGCAGCTGGCCAGCCCCACTGCCCCAGCCACAGAACTGAGGCACCGGGCCTGGGCAAAGAAGCGGCACGGGACAGGCCTTCCCCAGAGCCCACAGATCACAGCAGCCCAGCCCTGCCAGGGCCAACACCCCCAGATGGGAGGGGGCAGTAAGTGGTGCTCCAGGCCATGGACTTCTGGGATGCTTTTGCACAGGGCAACAGGTAACACTGGAGCAAACTTCAAGGCCACATGGCCCGCCCCACGTGGGCTGTCCCTCCTGGGGCCATAGTTCAGAGAGCAGGTGACAGGCTTGTTCCCTGCCCCACCACCTGTACTTGCCCCTCGCGAGGCAGTGGCCACATGTGGAGTAGATCCGTGGGATCCACACCCAGGAAGGATGGGGCCCTTCCACAGACAGGGCCCCACCTATGGAGAGGGGCTTCTGGGGGAAGGAACTACGCTGACTCCTGAGGGAGGAGGCACAGCCCCAGAAACAGCAAGACTGCAGCTGCTCAGATGCGGGGCAGGCGGACGGCCAGCCCAGGCCAGCGCCCCCACCCCAGGGACCCAGAGGGGAGGACCTGGCCATTCCTGCCTCACTCATGCTGCTCTGGCCTGGTCCTCGAGGCCCCCAATGGATGTCCACATCCTGTGCTTCACCCAGTCCGCGCAGCGACCTGTGTGCAAAGCCCCGGTGACCTCCCTTCCCACAGTCGCGGGCTCGGTTGGGCAGCCATGAACACCGTCTTCTCTCTTCAGGGCCTCGTCTCGTTCCCTGGGTAAGCCTCCGGCCCTGGGAGACCCCGCCAGGGAGCCACAGTCGACCCCGTGGCGGACGCAACCACTTGGTTCGTCCCCGGCAGAACCGCACCACAAAGCCCTCCCTCTCAACCAATAGGTCCCCAATCCAACCACCGGCGATCGGTCCCCGGACCCGTCCTCTCCTGCCCCTCTAGGACCCGCACTCCGCGAGCCCCCACGCCAAAGGTCACACGTAACCTCCCTCCACCGCGCGCGCGAAGCTGCCGGGAGGCTCTACCTGCGCGCGCCCGGCCCCGCCCCGCGCTCACTACGCATGCTCAGAACGGCGTCACGTGCCCTCCCACCTCCGCCGGCAAGGTCTCGGCTGCGTCCGCAGCGGCCAGAACTACGCCGCGCGCCGCTATGGAGCGCATCGAGGGGGCGGCCGTGGGCCGCTGCACCGCCTCGCCCTACCTGCAGCCTTTCACGCTGCACTACCGCCAGGTGAGCCCTCCCCTCCGCGGCTTCCGCCCTCAGCCCCTGCGGCTCGGAGCCCCACCCACAGCGTGGAGCCCCGCCCTCAGCGCCGAGCCCCGCCCCCTGGCTCCTTGGGAGGGTGGGGGTTCGCGGACTGCGTGAGTTCGGGCATGATAGTCAGGAGCCCCGCAGGGACACCTCGGGACTCCTTGTCCCTCCAATGAGGCTTTGCTGGGCATCGGCCCTTTTTGCAGTGGTGCTTACTGGGCTCCTCCTGGGCTCCAGGATCAAGGAAAGCTTCCTGGGGGCCATTCTAGGGACAGGAGCCCGCCCGGCAGGGAGGAGGCGGGAGCGGGAGCGGAGAGCACTAGAGAACCCCTCTGCGGGGGTCTCCACCTGTCTGTCCGGGGGCTCAGGGCGGGGCTGCCTCCCTCCGCTGGGTACCTAGGAGGTTCACAAGAGACGTTTGTGGGCTGAATGTGTGGCTGTTGGCTCCCTCTCTCGTTATCCAGCCGTTGACCTCCTGCACATTTCTCCACGCCTGCTCTGTCCTGTTCGGGTCCCCACCCTTCACTTGCCAGCTCCCCCTGCTCCGGCGCCTCCTGTTCCTCAGGCGCACGGGCAGTCTGTGTTTGGTGCCTCTGTACCCGCAGCGTCCTGCCCTCCCATCCTCTCCTTGCCCCTTCCTCTAATCAACCCTGTGAAGCCCCCTGGGGTCCAGTCTGAGAGAGGCCTATGCGCCCCCCCTTTCCCCGTTGCTGGGGCCCTGTGGGCTGCGGGAAAGACCTATGTTGGCAGCACTGGCTTGGAAGGAGCAGGTCACCACCCTCCCCGATGACAGTTACCTGGGGCAGGGTGCCTGACTGGCTTCACGGCCTCCAAGGGGTTGGGGCTCCAGGTAGCACAGGGTGGCCCTGGTCCACACGTGCTGGGCCGTGGACACACGTCTCTCCCATGCCCTGTGAAGGGCGCCTGCGGGGATGGTCCCACTGATGGGTGCTGGTGACCAGAGCTGAGCCCTGACACAGCAGGCTGTGGTGGGTGCAAAGTGGGGGCCCCAGGACTGGGCTGGGTAGTGCCACCCAAGGCACCTATAACCTTTGGTCATTAGCTGCCCTGTCCAGGGAAGGTCTGGTGGACAAGCAGATGGACTAGAGTCAGGGCACCCTTGTAGCTTTCAGGGGCAGGGGACTGTGTCCACTCCAGTCCTGTCCCTCCCTCCCAGGCCTCCCAGAAGATGAGCCAGGCCTGGGGCCCACCAGCCAGCCAGGGTCCTGCGGGAGGGGCTCACTGGGCCTCAGCAGGCCTCTCCCCATCCCTGCACCCTGCCTTGGCTGGACTGGAGGGTCTGACATTTTGATCCTGAGCTGAAGGGTTTCCGAGACCTGCACAGGTGACATGCACCCTGAAGGAGGCAGTGGGCACTTGGAGACCGTCCTGGGTGGGTGGTTGGCCCCTGGGCAGCCAAATTGCAAGAAGGCCTGGGCTTGCTTCAGGGGGCAGTGCCTGAGAGTGCATCCGGCACTGAGCCTGCCCACCGCAGGATATCAGCCCCCCCCCCCGCGCCCCCCACCCCGCCCCCGCACCGTGGGGATCGTGGCTGCCAGCACCCTTGCAGGACACCTCTGCCTCCGGGCCAAGCGCAGGCCAGGCTTCCCAGCCCAGCCGAGGCCAGGATGTGGGCCTCTACCTGTGAGGCTGTCCTGCCTGGAGTGCCCTCACCTCCCTTGGGCAGGGCCCGGTGCAGTGTCACCTACGGGAGTTCCCACAGAGGCTGCCCCTCAACATCCTTTCTCTTCTGTAGCCCTGGCCACCTTTCTGTGTCTCCAGTGCTCAGGTCCCTGGCGTTTCCTGGCCTGGACAGACCCAGGTTGGGTCCACAGTTCACCAGGGCCTCTGACTGACCAGTGACTGAGGGGCTGGCGATGGGCAGCCACAGGGAGGGTCCCAAGGCCCTGGGGTCCAGCCCTGTTCACAGAAACCTTTAGGGAAGGAGGAAGGGCTGGGTGGAAGAGCCCGTGTCACCCAGGGGTGTCCAGCCAGCAGGGTCCTGGGCACCTCCTACTTGCTGCCTGCTGCACCCCATTAGTGTCCTTTCTCAACCTCCAGCGGGCTTGGCCAGGCTGTGCCCCACACTGCCTCCTGCACACACCAAGTGCTGCCCAGAGCCCATCAGGGCAGGGCGTCCCGGGCCTGGGAGCAGGGTGGCGGGAGAAGGGATGGAGCGGCAGGACTCAGGATGCTTGGGAGATGGTGCAGGAGGGGCCGGCCCACCGTCCAGTCACCGTCATGGGGTCCCCACACCCTGCTCGGTGCCACCCCACCCCCGCTGCTCTCGGGGCTGGTGCCCGCTCAGGCTGCCAGCTGGCGCTCCTGCCTCCCACCTCCCTTTGCCCAGTTGCCCGGGGGTCTTCAGCAGGGGGAATCCTGTCTCCTCTGCTCCGCTTGGGGCTTCCCTCCCTGTCCCTACCCACACTTGGTGATGGCATACGTCTCTCTGCAGCATCTTGGGCTTCATCTGTGCTGGGTGTGCTCATACTGTACCTGGGATGCCTTTCCTTCCGGTGCCACTTCTTTATCTCACCCCACAGACTGTCAGACTGTCCTTGGCCTCCCTGCCCCTCCACAGGGGCTCACGGCTCCCATGGGCCCAGGCTGGGAGTGGGCCTCCCTGGTTGGAGCTGGCATCTGGGCCTGTGGGCCTCCCCGGCTGCCCAGAGCACCTCCACCCAAGCTGGCAGCCCTTCGCCCACCCTGACCGCTGCCTGCCTCTTTCAGAATGGTGCCCAGAAGTCATGGGACTTCATGAAGACACACGACAGGTTAGCATCCAGTCCGGGCCCCTCCGATGGCCACGGGGACCCTGGGAACGAGGGCCATGGAGCCCCACCCTGCCTCTGCCTGTGTGTATCCCCCACGAACATCCCCACTGTCTCTTCCCCTTCACTTAGGGTCCCCCCAAGGCTGGGGGCTGAGCTGGGTCCTAGGTTGGACCTTAGAAAGGCCGTCTGGGTGCCCTAGCCCCTGAGCACTGGGGTGTGGGCTAGACAGTGGCATGGCTCCAGGAGTGTGGCCAGCAGGCAACTGGCCAATGGGGACCACATGTGACGTCAGTCACCTGGTCCCCAGCCTCCCAACACGTCTTCCCCATCCTGCTGCCCCATCCTGCCAGCTGGGATCAAGACTGGCCGTGACCCTGGCAAGCTCTGGCCCTGCCTGGGCCTCACTCTCCCCATCCGAGCAAGGCTGCTTAGGCAGAGGAGGTGGGCTGGGTGGGCCAGGGGAGCTGAGGTGGGCACTGCTCCTGTGCTGAGCCCCGCCCATCCCGCCCAGTGTGACCGTCCTTCTCTTCAACTCTTCTCGGAGGAGCCTGGTGCTGGTGAAGCAGTTCCGGCCAGGTGAGGCCCCGTGGCGGGCGGGGGGTGCTCAGCGTGCTGTTTCCAGGCCCCTGTGGTCCTACGGTCAGAATGCAGATGTAGGGGGAGCTCCAGGGGAAACTGAGGCCTGGTGAGGGGTCTGATGCACAGGGAGGTGGCTGCCATGTGGCTCTGACCGTGGTCTGCCCTCCCCCCAACCAGCCGTGTATGCGGGCGAGGTGGAACGCCGCTTCCCAGGGTCCCTGGTGGCCGTGGACCAGGACGGGCCCCGGGTGCTGCCGGCGGCGCTGCCCGGCTCAGCGGGGGTGACGTTCGAGCTGTGTGCCGGCCTCGTGGACCAGCCCGGGCTGTCGCTAGAGGAGGTAGCCTGCAAGGAAGCCTGGGAAGAGTGTGGCTACCGCCTGGCCCCGGCCGACTTGCGCCGAGTGGCCACCTACAAGTAAGTGAGGCTGGACCTGTGCGGCCAGGGAGGGGCACCTGCTGCCCAAGGAGTGGGACTGGCTGCCTCCAGGCCCCAGGGAGTTTTCACTGGGGAGCCCCCTTGTTTTTATTGGGGGCTTGGGGACAGTTGGATGGAACGTGCCCAGATGGAAATCCAGGCTGGAGTCGGGGCTCTGGGAGCTGGTTCGGGGGCCTGCCTCGCTCTGAGGCCCCCGCCCCTCAGCCCCCGTTCTGGTGGCAGCTGCCACTGACAGATGCCTCCACTTCCTGCAGGATTAAGCCCTGGGTGAGGGGGGTGGGGGTGGGTCACAGGTCTTCCCTGAAAGTGGCTCAGGGAGGAGGGAAAGGCTTCGTCCAGGCCCAGGGGGGCCCCAGCACCCTGGCGAAGCTGGGGTGTGTGGCCTGGACCCTGGATTTCAGGGCCCAGCCCACCAAAGCCCAGGTGCCCCGCACCACACACTGCCCAGGAAGCCCACTGCTGGTCCCTCGTTCCAGGACAGGATGTTGGAATGACGCCCACCCCCCACCCTGGGGACACCGCAGTGGGTCCTGACCCCTGCAGGAGGAGGCCTCTCTGAGTCCTACGTGGGCCCTTCCCCGGGGGCGGGGCCTGTACCCCTAGGAGGGGGGCTCCGCCTCCTCTCGGCCCAGCGCGGGGGCCATTCAGTGTTGGGCCAGGGCCTCCCTGCTCCAGCAGCCCCCAAGGCCTCATCGGGGTGTCCCCCCGCCTACAGTTGTGGGGGGTCAGAGTTGGTCTGCAGTCCCAGGAAGGGGGTGAGGCACAGGATCCTCCATGTCAAACGTGCCAAAGGGTTGGATGTTTGGGGGTGAGTGGCTTCAGCATTCTGCAGGTGTTCTCCACTGGCCAGTAAGTGGCTACTTGTTCTCTCAGCCTGCTGGGGATGGGGAGACTCTAAGGGACCCGCCATGGGGTAGAAGTTGGGCTGGGGTAGTGGGCAAGGAGAAGGCAGGTGGGAGGTCCCAGGAGGGGTTGCCCCCTAGGAGGTGAGCCTGCTGGGGTCCTGGCAGAGGCTCTGGACAGGTGGGTCAGAGCCGGGCTGCAGTGGCTCCCCAAGCAGGGCCTCTGGGCTATGGCCCAATCTGAGGGTGCTGGGGAGCCAAGGAAGGTTGTGGACAGTAAGCACCTGTTCAGACGTGTGTCGGAGGGGGACACACATCTGTGGGGAGGCAGGGCTGGGGCACTGGTCATGGCGGCTGTCCCTGTGGGGCTCGTGAGAGCTGGACACACGGCAGGGCTCACACTGCCTCCATCACCCCAGAGCAAGCCAGGTCCCCCCACTGCCAGGCCCAGGGGACCCAGCCTGAGGGCTGAGATCAACCAGCGGCCGAAGCAGCCGAGTGAGGAGGCAGAGGTGGTGCCCAGCCGGCTGGCGTGTTTGAAGGCCGTGCCCGCCTTCTTCACAGGCCCCGGGAAACTGGGACTGGAAACACCTTAGGTGGCTTCCATCAAAGGGCAGCCTGTGCCGCTGGCGGAAGGGCCACCAGGAAGGGTCTGAGGGAGATGAGGGTGTGGAGGGCAGAGGAAGCAGCTGGGCGAGGTCAGTGTGCGAGGGCCCTCCTGGGACCCGGGAGTGACAGCCCCTCCGTTGCGCTCCCTGCCCTGTGCTTCGGGCCCATCTCCAAGGGCAGCCGGAGCAAACTGGGCTGACCCGGAGCTTCCCTCCTTCCCTGGACATCTCCCAGATGCCCCGGTTCCCTCCTCCCCTGCACACCACACGTGGGCCTTCCTCTCCTGTCCTGGAAGCCAGACTGGCCTGGTGACCACCCTGTCCTCACGGCCAGCAGTCTGCACGCTCCCCACTGTTGCCCCCCACCAGCCAGTCTGGGCCACTGTCCTCTGCTTGGGTGCTTGTCCCCTTCTGTGGCCATCATCCACTGAGAAGGGAGCTCACGCCCCCCTGCAGCCAGGGACCCGTGGGCTTGGTCTGCGGGACCTTGCTGTCATCCCGCCCCAACACCACCATGAGCCCAGCCCTTTGACTGGGCTCCCTTGGCACCTGCGTCCCCCAGCCTGGTGCCCTGCAGGTGACAGTGTTGGGTGGTCTCCCAGGCCCAGGCCCTGCTTGCAGCCAGCCTGGATCCCTGGGTGTGGGTGGGAGTCCAGCACACACCTCAGCAGCCAGGGGTTGGGGGCAGGGGGATACACCCAAGTGGGGAAGAAGGGCACTGCACGAGCGCGGGCAGGAGGGGCTGCGCTGCAGATGGCCCCAGAGGCTGACCAGCTTCAGCCGCTGCAGCCTCCAGGTGGCCTGGGCTGGCAGTCTGGGTCCCTCCTTCAGGGTCTCAGCTGCTGGGTCTACTGTTTACCCTGGGGCTCAGTGCCCTTCCCAGCTCCCAGGGCTGCGGCTGCGGCTGTAGCTGCGGCTGTGTTCTGGCTGACTGTCAGCCGGGACCATGGTCAGCTCCTCAAGGCTGTGCACTGCCTGCCGTGTGGCCCTTCACAGCGAGCAGCTTGCTGCATCTTCAAAGCTAACAGGTACAGGGGCGGAGGCCCCTGAAACCCCACCCAGAAGAGGGCTGGAAGGTGCAGAGTGGAGAGGGCCAGCGGGCCCCGCACAGCAGCTCAGTGGACACTGTCTCAACCCATAGGTCTGGCGTGGGACTGACTGGCTCCAGCCAGACCATGTTCTATGCAGAGGTGACAGACACCCAGCGGGGTGGTCCTGGCGGGGGCCTGGCCGAGGAGGGTGAGCTCATCGAGGTTGTGCATCTGCCCCTGGCTGGCGCCCAGGCCTTCTCGGACAACCCAGATGTCCCCAAGACCCTTGGCGTCATCTTTGGTATCTCTTGGTTCTTCAGCTGTGTGGCCCCTGGCCTGGATCCCCAGTGACATTCCAGAGGGCTAGACAGAGGTTGGTCCCAGCCACCCGCCCTTGCAGACTCAATAAAGGCTTGTACAGCTCCAGCCCGTGTCCACTGGCTCCCAGGGGCGGGTGGGGCAGGCAGGGGTGGCTCTCCAGAGGGCCCCTCGGCTCCACACAGCACCAGCCTCCGCTGTGGCCGAGCCCCAGGGCAGGACCGCAGGGGGTGAGCCAAGCGCTCAGGGAGGGTGGCTCAGTGGGCCAGGGCGTGGAGTGAACTAGGGCCAGCCTGTGTCGGGAGGAGGGGGACAGGACTGTGGACTGTCAGCAGGCTTCTTGCTCTGGGGAGAGTGAGGTGCCCACCTTGGTGGGCAGGCGTCACCGGAGTCCATGCCCCACAGGCCACAGGAGCCTGCGATCCGGTGTACTTCCACCTGCCTGCCTGTGTGCGTGGCCCTGAAGCCGCCTCCCTGCACAGGCCTGGCTGGGGGCGGGGGCCGCCTGCCGCCCTCCGGACACCTCAGACCCTTGGGGTCATAGGAGGGCTGGCACCCACTCAGCCAGGTAGGTTCAGCCCATCCGAGGTGGGCCGGAGCCAACTATGGAGCGTGCTGGTCACCGTGGTCGTGGGTGTCAGCTGGGGGTGGGGGCCTGGCTTGACCGTTTTGGAGGGTGGTGACCTGGCCTGTCTTGCAGAGCCCCCCAAACCCTCTCTGGTCAGCCCCTCATGTGCTGCTCTGGGAGGCAGGTTGAGGCAGCCTGGGTCATGGACCCCGGCCCTGGGAGCGTGCATGGTATCCAGGATGGTGGGGACTGGCTCATTGTCCAGGGCCTCAGTGTCCCTGGGGCTGGGCCCTGGGCTGTGGCTATGGAAGGCACAGGGCCAGGACAGACTGCCTCTGGCACCTGCTGGGTGGGGTACTTCATGAGGGCCAAGGACCACCTGCCCGGGTGTCCTTCCCCTGCCCTTCAGGCTGACCCCAGGCAGGCAGGCAGGCAGATGCTTTTGTGAGCACGCGTGGAAGGGCACCCAGGTCCCTTGCTTCCCCGGGCCCGGGCAGTGCCAGTGGCTGAGCCCAGCCAGAGGGGCACAGCTCCTGGGCCTGGCGTTTGGGGCATCCTGAGGAGGCTGTGCCCAATTGACCCACCCAAGCAGCATCACCTGTATGCAAATGCCCGCTGTGTCCCAAGTGGGGCCTCCCAGGAGCCCAGCCAGGTGAGCACCGTGCGTCTGGGGAGGGGCCTTTGGGCACGTGTTGTGTGCAAGGGGCTGGCCTGGGGGGGTGCGGTGGGGGGCCAGAGCCCCCCTCTTCTGGGAGTTGCCCCAGAGCCAGAGCTCCGCCCAGCCCAGGGCTGCCCCACCCACTGGCTTCCCAGGCAGCCTGGACTCGCACACCCACCCCCAGTGCTCACTGGCCCCCTGGGCTGCCGGCCACACTGTCTTGGAGGTGTGTATGGCCGGACCCATGGGCTCTCTGCTGTGGCCCCTGTGCTGGGCTCTGCCGGTGTGGCAGGGGTTGAGGACAGGCTGCAGTCCAGCCCCCTGACTCTTGCTGCCCCAGGGCAGGTCAGCAGGCACTGCTGCCGAGCCTAATGGAACTGGCATCGATTTCCCGGCACTGCGGGTGGGGGGTGGGGGCTGTAACCGGAAACTCCCCTCCCTGGCCGCTATATTTAGCACCACAGAATGAGACGGAAGCACAGCTCACTCCTAAGCCGAGCCACCTCTGACCAAAGCCCCAGCAGCCTGCGCCCTAGCCTGGTCCCAAAGCCACCACCCCCTGCCAGGCTGCATGGCCCCAGCCCACTCTGCTGTGCGCAGCGCCAGCTGAGCACCCACTTACAGAGCTGGCCCCAGGGCCCTGGGACTGGGAGTCCAACTCGAGAGTTCCCAGGCAAGAGGCCCATAGAACTGGGGTCTGAGGGGAGCTGTGGCTCAGCATACCCCAGAACAACACGGGGGACCCTCCTGGAAGTGGCAGAGCAGCCTGGCCTGGCAATGGTGGAGGCATGAGCCCTGACCCCACTGGATCTCCAGGCTTCTGGCCCAAAGCTGCAGAAATCCCTGCTGGGGGCACCCAGAGTGGGGGTCCCTGTCTCCAGGGCCCCCCCCCCCCGAAGAGGCCACCTTTCTGACTTGAGCACCTCCTGAGCACCAGTAGGTTCTGGGATGTGGCTCCCAGGAGGCCGCAGGGAAGGGGACAGTGAACAGGAGGGCCCTGTGCCTGCAGGGCGACACCCAGGCCAGGGAGCCTGCCCCACAGACAGCAGCAGTCTGCTGCCTCCAGTTCTGTCCTGACACTCAGCTAGCTGCCCCTGCTGTGGGGACCCTGGTTCCGCTCCCCAAGGATTTGCAGGGAGGGGGAGGGACCAGGCCCCTGTCTCTTTGGTTTTGCAGGGCAGGCAAGGGCTCCATGTGCCCAGGGCTGGTCAGGCTCCAGGGAGGCTGCGTCTCCTGACTCAGCCTGAATCTCGGGATGCAGGGAGTGCCTGTCCTGCTGCCTCCCAGCCAGACACCCCCCAGCAGAGAAGCGCAGCAGCTTCTGCCAGCTCCCAGCCTAGGACCACCTTCCCTCCCTAGGTGGGTGAGGGAGAGGCACATGGGGAGGGACTGTTTTCTGGCTTACCCTGGAATTCCCATCCTCAGCCCCTCCACCTGCAGGCCCTCCCCAGCCACTGGCCCCTCCCTGCTGGCCTTGCCCTGCTGCTTCTCCCCCACAGTCAGGGCTCTATGTGAAGATGTAAGCTCAATGTGGAGCCCACCCTGGCTCCATTGCCTTCTGGGACTTCCCGTTGGTCTCAGCAGGAAGACTGGTGTGTGTAGGGGCGTGCCCAGCTTAGCCTGGTGCTCCCCACAGACCCACCTCTGCCCCTCACCTCCCCGGCAGCAGCCCTGTGTGTCCCTCACAGGCCCTCCCTGGGGTCCATCTCCCTCAGCCTCAGGGCCTTTGCACGAGCTTGTCCAGCTGCTCACCTGGCTGACCCTTGTCTGCCTCTGTCTTGGAAGGCCCCTCCCTGGGTTCCTGGCCTTCCTCACCCTTGCAGTGTGTCAGTGTACAGGATCTGTCCAAGTTCTCTATCCGCCCTTGACTGGGAGCCCCTGAGGATGGGCAGGGACTGTTTGCCTTGGTCCCTGCTTGGCAGACAGGGGCAGAGGTGCCCAGGGTCTCTGTGGATAGCGGGGCAGTGGGCAAAGGCAGGCATGGAGCTCAAGACCCTCGGAACTGGGGGCCTCCTCTTCCACTCAGGGCCTAGAGTACCTGGGGACTTACTCCCGGCCAGAGCAAAGGGTGAGCCCCCGGCCCCTGCAGGAAGAAAGGGCTGCTCTGAACACAGCCCCCAGGCCCTCCTTTGGTGGAATCTCTGTGAGCCCTGCCCCCACCCGGCCTGAAGAGGTAGAGATGAGCACCTGGAATGGGCAGAGCCAGGCCCACCCCTCCAGGGGCCCCCAGTTGCTCTAGAGGCCTGTGTCCCAGCGGGTTGCTCAGTGCGGGTGGGGCGGTGGAACTGGGGGTGGCAGCGTTCACTCCCAGGGCACCAGGGCCTTAGGGGGGCACCTCAAGAATGTCCTCTAGACACAGAGCCGAGCCTGTGCTCCTTCCTGAGTTCCTTTTTCCCACCCCCAGGCCCTGAACCGGTCTCCTTCAAAGCTCCCTTCCTCCAGGAAGACTTCCACGCCCCTATTTGTGGCAGGGACTAGCTCCAGGCAGTGCCCTGCACCCCCAGTGCCCAACCAAAAGACCTGGGACAGATTTGCCGGAGGATCCAAGGGAGAGGACACAGTCCAGTGATTGTGGGGGTGGGACCAGAAGACCCCTGTAGAACATGTGATCACTAGTGGCCAAGGCCATCCCAGCCCTGGAAGGGATTCTGCTTCGTGAAGGGTAGGTGACGTTTGGAGACAAGGAGCTCATGGTACTGACTCCGTGGACGTGGGGCAGCAAAGTGGACGAGGGTTCTGGCGATAGGGACAGCAAGAGGAGACTCTTTGGGTAGATTTCGCCTTGTCTTTTTGGGCGTTCCCCGCTGTCCTTTACTGCCCTCACCCAAGCTCGGACCCTGCCTGGCATGGGCACTCCTCCAGAGTGTTCTGGCGACCCTGTGCCAGCGCGGAGCCGGACACAGCCTGCTCCTGGGAGCATTCATTGCTTTGCTGCCTGACCCACGAGCCGTATGGCAGGGAGGCCACTAGCGCCGGCGGGGAGCAGCGCCCCCTGCGGCCGGCATGAAGGCGGTGGGAACCGCACGGAGGGGACCCTCCCCTGGGAAGGAGGCGAGCAGTAGGTTGGGCCCAGCTTCGGTCCCAGGCCGCGCCCGCCCCGCGTGGGGGCCGAGCCGATTTGTGCTGGAGGCGGCAACTCTCCTCTGGGACATCGAGGAGCTCAGCGGCCGCGCACTGATGGGAGGGGACCACAGCAGTGACCTCAGGGGGCGCCCCACCCCCTGGCTCATGACACCCGGCAGCGGGGCTCCGGCGAGCTGAGACCGCTTTGAGGTACCGGTCCCTCCTCGCTGGGCTCGGCTGAAGCGTCACCGGAGCCCCACGGTCCCAGCGTCCAGAGAAGCGCGCGAAGGGCCGGACGCTAGCCGGAGGCGGCCTCCGCCTTTAAAGCCCCGGCGCTGGGGCACCCTCCCCAGCCCCACCCCACAGCTTTGCCCCGCCCTCTCATGCATATGCAGGTGCGCGGGTGACGAATGGGCGAGCGAGCTGTCAGTCTTGTCTCGAACTTGTTGGCTGCGGGCGCCGGGAGCGCGGGCGCTCAGAGCTGAGGCCGGGACCCGCCGCCGCTCGCCGCCGCTGCCGCCGCCAGGAGGGAGCCAAGCCGGGTCGGAGCGCAGCCGCCTGCGAGCCTGAGCCCGCAGCTCTTGCGCGCACGCCACCGCCCAGACCCGCGCGGCGCCGCCTCGACCCCGCCCGCCGCCACCGCCGCTGCCGCTGCCGCTGCCTCTGCCGGCGCTCGGAGGGCGCTCGGGCGCAGGGAGGCCGGGCCGGGCCGGACGCGCAGGGGCGGTGGCGGTGGCGGTGGCGGCGGCGAGCGGGGTCGAGGCGGAGATGCGGGCGCGGGGCCGGGGGCGCCTTCCCCGGCCGCTGCTGCTGTTGCTG